CAGCTGCCTCTCTACATGGAAATAATGACAATAAAGAGGAAGACGTGAGCTGTAGTCGGCAAACACTGATTTCATCGGAAGGGCATTCCAACAAGAAAAAAAAAGAAAAAACACTGGGAAAGAGTTTATATGGTTGTATCAAATGCGCCAATGAAAATGGCAAGCGCTAATGTCCAATAAACATCTCAGAAATGAGCCATTAAAACCTCAAAATTATTCAGGCATGTACTTCTAAAGCCAGAATTCTTAAGTTATCAATAAGCCCCTCAAATTGTTTACAAAAAAAAAAAAATCAAGCTATTGGCAGAATTTTTTAGTCATTAAGCAACTTGGTTGTTCTATAAATTTCTTAGTCATCTGATTAAATTAGGAAGCTTTATCCCCTAATCATTAAGTCACATGTCACTGGCAAACAAGAAAGCAGCTGACACTGCAGCAGAAAAATGTGTTTTTCCAGCATCAGGGATACTTTGTGGACAGGGTGAGATCAATTTGATGATAAAGGTAAAAACATTCCTCTTAGTGATAACACAGTATCTCTTCAAATCTTTACTACTGTGTAACATTTAGAAGGAACACTTAATACGTACTTAGAACCTGGTATAGATTTTTGAGATCCAATTTGATAAGAGCACTTTTATCACAAGTCATGTAGCTCTTTTCATTTCTATCAGCTCTATGTGGAAGACTAGTTGTGTGTAAATTTAACTTCAAGCACATCAGGATTAGATGCCTTTACAGAATTGGGAAAGCGGGACTCAGTCAATATAAAATGAAAAATTGTAAAGGATAGAGAGGCAATAGGATAGAAACACAGCAGATTTATTAAAAATTAAAAGATATCCATCACTATATTTTGCAATCATTGTTTTTTTCTATCATAAGACTTTGGCATCCCAAGAAATCAACCCTTGTTGATTACGTTCATGGACATAATGGAAAAGGCAGGGAAAGTTGTCACTTGTATTACAGAAAGCTCACTGAAGAGCAGACTTTTTGAAATATTTTATTCAGAGATTGGAGGTGAGCAGACTGCATCAAATTCATTTGTTTGTTATCGCAATGAAATACACAAGGAAGGACATTCATATTTTTCTAGTTAAAGCTCAATTTCATTTGGCAAATATTTTCAAAACTAACATCTAACAGAAGGGCATGTTTAACTGATTTTGTTATTTCTCAAATTAAGTTTGGAACCATAGCAGGGAAGTTTATACCTCAACATGTAAAATACGACAGAATGTTCCACAAGATATTATTCTTAAAGCAAAAATAAACATTTGAAAAGCATCACCTCACAACTGTCTGTTGCTAACATTCTTCTAAGATATTGAACAGAGGTTTTTTAATGACAGCAGTTTGAATGAGATAAAACTAGAGAAACTGTTGCTACCTCACTGTCTTAAACTTCTAATCATTACTTCCAGAACAGAAATGTTAAATATTAAAGTCTTTGGATAAAAGGTCATTTTGCTTTGCAAAACTCCTAAGTTAAACTTGGTGGCCAAAGAAGGGAATGCATCTTTTGTTTTTCATTTACTCTAAAAAAAATTATTGTAATATATAGTTTATCATAATTTTAGAGAAAAGGTACAGATGAATTTTCACTGTGAAGCATAAAAAGTGTATGATTATTATTACAAGGATTAAAAAAATTTTTTTTGCAAGACTAGAATTTTCATCCCTGACCCACTTAAAAATTAAAAAGAAACCAGCTCAACAGTGCCTTAGATGTGTAAGCAGCACCGTCTCTCAGAGCTCTAGGCTGGAATGAGCTACCTACGGGTAAGCACACTTACTGAACTTAAACACCTTCTAATTTTCACTTAAATGTCTTCTACTTGGGGACTTTTCTATTCTGTATTAATTAATAAAAACTCATTTTATATTATTATGCCTATATTTTATCATAAAATATGAAAATAAGCACTGTTTCATAAAACAATTTTATTTTTAGGCATGTCTCCGTGTCTGAGTTTGTGTCTGTGTACTAGGCTTGATGTACAACGTATTTCTTACTACAGGTTCACTGTCCTTCAAGTTTGAAAAATAGGTTTGGTTTTTTTTTCCTTAGAAGTGGACACTACTACTTCCAAATATGCTAAATGTACAAGACTGGGTGGGGGCATTCGGATTTCCTCTCACATTTTTGCCCTCCAACTTGCCAACTAGAAGCTCTTTTTAAGACTTCTCTGGACAGAATGGCTTCTCCTCACTGCTCCCCTTATACAATCAACATTTGAGCACGTTCCTCCACTCCATGATGACCCAAAAGTCAGTACGATCCCATCCACCATCTAGATCTCAGAAATCCCATTGGAATCTCTGATCCCCACTCTCCAACAGGGTCCCCACCTCTGGTGCTGATTTATTGTCTCATCTGTGCTTCTTTAGTGTCATTTCAATGGACTGCAGGACAGTAAGGTGGTGAGTCAGTCATCTTGAAGGAGGAAAGTTTGTATTTTTATATGGTACTAATCAGAGCTGATGCAATGAAGTAGGCATTCTCAAACACCACTAGCAGAACAAATTGGACAACCCAAGCAATTCAGTAGTAAGTATCAAGAACCTTAAAAATGTCTATCTTCTTGAATTCAATTAATCTCTTTCTAGTTATAAACTCCAAGGAAATAATCAAATGTCCAACAAAGATGTTCATGACAGAGTTATTTACAAAAAGATGGTTTTCAATTTTTTTCCTAAATATACAACAGGGGAATTAGTCGATCTCAAATTGTATACATAATAAAACATTTGTTAGTAACTAAAAGTATATTTTAAAAATGTAATGACAAGGGAAATATAGTAAATGTAAAAAGGAAACAAAAGATATAGACAGTAGGACCCCAACTTTATTTTAAAAAACAAAGAAGCAAACAAATGATTGCAGAGAAAATACAGAGTAAGATCTTGGTTTATACTATGTATCTCCTTTACTCTCTAGATATCTTCTTGTGAAGTCAACTATACCATCCTCATCTTAATTATACCCATAACTACACTATATAAGTCACACCTTACTTTAATCATATCATTTCTTTATAATCTGGGTAAATATATACATAGTCTACAACTCCCTTGCTACAATTACTTTTCCCAATTCCAGTACACATCTTCAGCTACCTCAGCATATGGGAGTTTAGCTATCAAACTTGATTTTAAATACATATTAATATCACATCAGGTTAAATATAACCTTTAGCCATGCTACTGAATCTAAGTTTCTATAATGTAAGTGACGCTGGGCTAAGCAATTACACCTACAGTGACACAGGTCTACTTAGAGAGGTTTGCCCCTTACCTGAAATCCTCTCTTACAGGCTCCCTCAATCTCATGAAAGTCATGTTCTGTGCACAGAGGGCAAGCTTCAGCACTCTCCCAGAGGAAATAGAACGTACATCCATCACAGGTGCCTGCTGGACACTTGCTGAAAGAAAACATGAAAGACAACAAAAACAACAGCTTTCTTAACACATTTAATTGCATTCAATCAACAGTTGAGTGGACACTGTACACTGGGAAGCAAGGTGTGGGTGCTGAGGAAACACATGAAAAATAATCTAAAGGCGACAAAACCACAAGGAGATACTACTTTGCACCTACCAGGATGGCTAGCATCAAAAAGACAGCTAATATCAGGTGTTGTAAAGATGTGGGGAAACTGGAATCCTCAACACCTCTGATGGGAATACAAAATGGTGCAGCTTTGGAAGAATCTGGCAGTTCCTTACACAATTAAAGAGAATTACCATATGATCCACCAATGCTACTTCTAGGTAAATACCCAAGAGAAATGAAAATACTATGTCCACACAAAAACTGGTATGTGAATGTTCATAACAGCATTATTCATAAATCCAAAAGGTGGAAACAACCTAAATGTCCATCAACAGATAAAAAAATGTGGTATATCCACACAATGAAATATCACTCAGCCATTAACGGGAATCCAGTACTGATACATGCCCCAAATTAGATGAACCTCAGAAATAGTATGCTGAGTGAACGAATTCAATCAAAAACAGCAAGGTCCTACTGAATAGCATGGGGAACTAACTATATTCAATACCTTGTAATAGCCTAGAATGAAAAAGAATATGAAAATATATCGAATCACTGTTATACACTAGAAATTAACACAACACTGTAAACCAACTATCCTTCAATTTTTTAAAAGTCCATACACAACATTATTTAGATAAAAGTCCATAATAGGGAATTCCACATAAACAGAAAGTAGTTTAATGGTTGTCTTGGGCTATGGAGGGGGCTAAAGTACAGGGAAGTAATAGCTAAAGGGTATGGGGTTTCTTTATGGGCTGATGAAAATGTTCTAGAGTTTACTATGGTGATGGTTGCATCTACCTAAATAATATACAATGACCATTGAGCTGTATGCTTTAAATGAGTGAACTGTAATGGTATGTGAATTACATCTCTATAAAACTATTTTCTTTTAATTTAAAGGAGAAATAGGTACAGATAATGACAAAAAAAAAAAACCTCCAGTAAAGTTTCTGACTGGAAGTGATGTCTAAGCCGAGTCTAGAATATTCTAGGAGTCAGATGAAACAGAAGAGAAGAAAGCAAGCGAATTCTTGCCAGAGAGAGGAAACAGTAGATGAAATTACCAGAGGTCACTGTCACTGGAGTTTCAAGAGCAAGGCCATGAATGAGCACTGGGCATAGAGGCATTAGATGGTGAAAGTTGTTGTGATTTCTGTCTGAGGTAATATACACAGGTGAGGTGCTTTAGGACAAACAGGACCATGATATCCACAGAGGATGGGAGAAAGACATGAGAACAAAATTGTCTAATGTGAAAAAACCACCATCAGGCCAACACACAGCTCAGTGACGTAACTGATTTCACGATCCTGAGTTTCCTCGGCCTGAGGATGACTTCGTTCATGATGTGGATACCCTCACCACTCGGTGATAATGGGTGGGGCTTAGACAAAGGTGCAGAATTGCACTGAACCAAACACCAAGTAGAGCCTGAATGGAGACTTTTTGAAATTCTCCTTTCTGATGAATGGGCCAATTATGTTAACTTTGCCTCTTTCATTTTAGGGACAGATAAACAAACACAATATAGCTCAAAAATTAACTTGCTATTACTTTATACAGAATCCTTACTGATTGAAGCAAGAAGCTATTTGGAAAGATTCTAATAGGAATGGCTGTTCTGTTCATGAATTCATTAAAGTTAGGGGAATATTATTCCCTTAATTTGTCTACTGCACTTCCCCTCAGTCAAGCCATGTAAACACAGGGCATTGCCCTGAAAATCTCCTTCAAATCTTAGCTGGTGCCAACTACAGGTGTCCTGCAACAACTAAGAGCAAAATGATAGATATACAATACTAGAATCAAAAAAAAAACCCTTTTAAGTTTTAATTTTAAATGTCTGATGAGAATGTCGAAAACTTTCATTTTCAGCCTACCAGAAAGCTAAAATTCCATACTATTAGTTTACTAAATATATTCTAAGGTGCCCTGATAGGAACTCTAAAAAAAACCCTACATGCCTGAAAACTGATGCATTTTTACATGTCTGTCTTTCCAGTGTCCGTGTGCTGTACACTAGTAGACATGGGTGGGATGTAAATAAAAGCAACATTCTTCATGACACACTTCAGAAACAGGGACCCAGGACTGTCAGAGCATAGAACAATGGTCAAAAGTGACTCTTTGGAAGAATGACTTGACTCTCTTACCCACCTTAATTACTCTATTTATAAAAAGGTGAGTACATTCAGACTAAGAAACAAAATGATTTTTTTAAGAAAAGTACAATAGATGAAAACTATACCACTTAAAACATTATTCCCACTTTCCATCTTTCAGATCAGGCAAAGCAACTCACAATTGCTCTTTTCAAAAAAATTGGGTAACCAATTAGAAAAATTCCTCAAGAACACAATTATTATTTGCACAACAGTGATTTGCAACTTCCAAAGTAATAACACTTTTTTGATCATTTAGCAAAATTACCAATAGGCTTTCCTACTCAAATCTCTCCTCCTCGAATTGCTCTCTATTTTATCTTCTCAACACAGAAAAGTTGTTTATCTTGGGAAAATGAAAGTGTTAGTCTGCTAAAGTTTGAGAAGAAAGAACTCAATGAAAAAAAAAAGAGAAAATTAAAGTTTCAAAAGGCTTTAGAAAGAAGACTTGGATTACAATTCTAACTGGACTTTCAAATGACCAACCAGACTTTCAACTCACTGTGTTTTTCCTTAAGTGACTCAAACTCTCTCCTTACCATCGCAGTTTTGTAATGTGTCAAAAGCAGAATATCTACTGCACTGATTTCATAAGGTAGTTATGAAGGGATAAAATGAGAGAACTATTTGGGAAGGTTTAAAGCACTGCAAAATATAAAAGACTATTAACAAGGTACATCACTTTGTAAAGAACTAGTAGAACCAGAGAAAGGGGAAAAAAAATCAAGATATTGATATAATTTATAAACCTGACATTAGGTGTCAAAATACTACAATGATTCAATGCTTTTCCTTGGCAGACTTCACTTTTTAAAAGAAACTCTTAGGTTAAAAGCAGTTTAGTTTAGATTCAATTCTTCATTTCCTTTAATTCAATGAATCATTTAAAATGTGGAACATCCAAATGTGATTCTTTGTTATAAATATAATTTCCACATGTTTGAATCAGGCCTTCCCTGGGAACCAGCAAGGATGTATGAAGCAGTGATTATTTCAATATGCTTATAGATATAATAAAAATAGAAAAAAGATGTAAGAGAGAAAAGTGTTAAGACAGATATGTACTTTATTGCCAGGTATGTGAAATCTCTTTCCCTTTGATGACCTGTGTCACCCTGATCTTTACCCCTCCCAAACAGCTTTTCAGAGGTGTCGATAATTGCGCTTCTGCATAACTTTCAAGCTACGTGATCACCATAGAAACCAACAAGTACATGTTTAAAGAAATGAGATAAAGTCATAGACAGCAGGGGCTCGGGAGGGTAGAGTTCTACAGGTTGGCCAGATGTGCTGTGAATTCTAGGTTAAGAAACCACTACAGATTCAAAGGACAACCAGTTAAACATTAATTTGGTTTTACTGAGAAATACGTAACAGGCTTTCCAGTTTCCTTATTTTGCTTCTGATGTTGCCTTATCAATCAAGGTGGCACAAGTAATGTGTAAGAATTCAGACGAGTTTTTTTTTTTTTTTAGAAAGTTATGTCTTGGATTCTAAAACGGAATACATTTCCTGGGAGGAATAACTGGATTGAATCATCTTACCTAAAGCAGGACCTACCTGGTTCATATTATGAATTAATGGAGTAGAATATTGTGTTCTTGTGAATTATTATCACCTAATACTCAACCTATTATTATTGTTGAGATAATTGACAAATCTCTGTAAAATTGTTTTGCCTAAACTTCATTCAAAATCCAAAGTTAAGACAAATTTATCTACACTGTCAGTACATTTCCAACCCTTCTGGAGTTAGTCTCAGGAGGCAGGTGGGAAAGGACACAGTCTTGTGGGCCCAGAACATTTATCATTTGGTGTCAGTGTACTATTGTGCTGAGCTTTTTCATGTGGGGCCTTTGTGGGTTTCTTGGGGTTCCACGGTCTCAGGGTATTCAGACTGGCATCCTCTGGCAAGGGCTTTGCTCTCTGACCTCCTGGAGACTCCCTTCCGCATTGGAATCTCAGGAAGCTCAGCTTTTCTCTGCTAAGGATACCTTTTCATTGGTAGAAACCCTTCCAGTGTCAGGTCCATATAATGCCACTGCATCTTGATCTAATTTTGTTTGCCCTAAGGCTGAAGAGCATAAATCACTTATGATAGAGTTTGAAAACAAGGTATTTTGACCTAGAGGTCTTAGATCCAGAGATATAAAATTTTACCAGTCTCCTGCAAAAGCTTCCCTTTCTAAAGGTTCTATCTTGGGTTAACTACCAAAGGCAGCATCTGATAAAGACCTAGACAAACATTAACTGACACCCCTGGTCCTTTTTATTTACAGACTCTGTGTCTTCTTCAGTGAAATAAAAATGTGTCAAAGTTTTTACATTCTTAATTCAAACTTGATCCTAAAACTTTATGAATGTCCTGTGATATTTTTATACCATTTCTTAAGGTTACTCATTAGTTTTTGAATTGTACAGTTTTAACAATTCTCTATTAGAGTTTTTCCATTTCTTTTTTTTCCAGTTAGAACAAATTAACTTATTTGTGGATGAAGAAAAAGGTAGGGAAACTGATATATGGTAGATTCTATCTTCAGTCCTTAGATTCAACATTTTAGGATACATCTGGATATTGGTTCCTTATCATAAACTTTTTTTATTGACACACAATCAATTTACAATATTATGTTAGTTTCAGATGTACAACAAAGTGATTAAATATTTTATAGATTATACTCCATTTAAAGTTATTATAAAATATTGGCTATATTCCCTTGTTGCTCAATATATCTTTGTAGCTTATTTATTTTATACATAGTAGTTTATACCTCTTAATCCCTCTTTCCCTGTCTTGTCTCTCCCCACTTCCCTTTCCCCATTGATAGCTACTAGTTTGTTCTCTATATCTGTGAATCTGTTTCTTTGTTATATTCACTAGTTTGTTTTAGTTTTAAATTCCACACACAAGTGATATCATACAGTATTTGATTTTCTCTGACTTATTTCACTAAGCATAACACTTTCCAGGTCCATCCATGTTGTTGCATATAGCAAAATTTCATTCTTTTTTATGGCTGAATAGTATTCCATTATACGTTGTGTAAAAGCTTTTAAGTTTAACTAGGTTCCATTTGTTTATTTTTCCTTTTATTTCCTTTGCCTGAGAAGACAGAACCAAAAAAAAAAAAGTTGCTACAATTTATGTCAAAGAATGTTCTGCCTATCTATTCTTTTTTTTCCACAATGTGTCAATTTCTAATGTACAGCACAATGTCCCAGTCATGCATATACATACATATACTCATTTTCACATTTGGCTATCTTTTCTTCTAGGAATTTCCTGCCTTACATTTAGGTATTTAATCCATTTTGAGTTTATTTTTTGTATATGATGTGAGAAAATGTAGCTGTTCAGTTTTCCTACCATGACTTATTGAAGAGACTGTCTTTCCTCCACTGTATATTCCTGCCTCCTTTGTCATAAATTGATTGACCATAAACGCGTGGGTTTATTTCTGGGCTTTCTAATCTGTTCCACTGAGCTATGTGTCTGTTTCTGTGACAGTACCACACAGTTTTGATTACTGTAGCTCTGTAGTATAGTCTAAAGTAAGGAAGCATGATACTTCACCTTTTCTTTTTAGTCTTAAGACAGCTTTGGCAATATGGGGCCTTTTGTGGTTCCATATAAAATTTTAAATTATTTGTTCTACTTCTGTGGAAAAAATATCAGGTATTTTTAAAAATAGGAATTGCATTAAACCTATAAATTCCTTTGGGTATTATGGATAGTTTAACAATATTAATTCTTCTAATTCATGAACACAATATCCTTCCATTTCTTTGTATCATCTTCAATCTCCATCAATGTTTTATAGTTTTCAAAGTAAAGGCCTTTCACCTCTGTGGTTAAGTTTAATCATAGGTGATTTTGAAAGGGATTATTTTCTTGCTTTCTCTTTCTAGTAGTTTGTTATTTTGTGAGAAACAATCTTCCCAGAGGCTATACCTATAATGAAAATGAATTTGGAATTTGAAGGAGGTTTTTGCAATATAATTTTGGACTTGTTTGTAAACTACCCAAGCAGTTAAATGTAGTCATAAGTTGACAGAGAGGATTATGATTTTCCTCCAACTTATAACATTAATAAAGAAGACCCTGTTTGAGGTAAGACCAGTTATTTAAAAGAAGGCACCAATAACTTGTAGATCAGTTGAGTTGTCCCACAGATAAATGTGCTATTTGCCTCTGCTTAGTGTGCTTCTTTGCAAATCTCTGCCTATGAGGAATTGAGGGGAAATGACAAGATGAAAGATGGCATGAAAAGAACAATAGACACAGTCAGGAAGTCATTCCATCTTGACTGTGCCACTCTACAGCTATGCAACCTGGGTCCTCAGTGTTTCCTACTATGTCAAGTAAATGGGTTTGATTCAAGGATCTCTAATGTGGTATGACATCTTTATTATCAGAGTAAATATGATTCCTTCTGTCTATTTTCTAATAAGGCTTTTTAATAATCTTTCCACTAAGAAATTTCTTATGTTTTTGAAAGGGCACTTAGGACACAATGCTCAGGTCTAAATTTTCCTAATGAAAGGGGAATCTTCAATTCCTCCAACCACATAGGATCATGATTAGAGGGTTGGAAAGCCTTTTAGGCAGAAGCTGGGGAGGCATCTATTTAGGGATATTAGTGGTCTATTGTGTTAGCAATTTATCCTTTGCCCAAGGTACAAACTACACTAGATAATCTCAAAAGTCCACTCTAGCTCTCAGATTTCATCTGCCAGACATCATGCTGTTAAGTTTTTATCAAAAATGTCTCACACCCTCCAGTCACTTTGTGGAATTAGAAACCAACTGCATTTGCCACCCAAACAGACAGGCTGGAGTTTCCAACTGCAGATTACTGAGTGGCCCAGAATATTTGCTGCTGCCTCTACATTGCATGTGAGGTGCAGAGAACATACTTTTCCCCTTTTCTCCTTCCCATTTGCTTTCTGTTAGGACATTCTCATTTTCCTAAGACTAGGGGTCTTCTGACATTTTCCCAGGTCACCAAGACATAGAGCCCCAGCCAACATTACTACTGCTGAAGTTGCCTTTGCCTGGTTTGTCAAGATTCTTGGCCAAGAGAGAATTCCAGGGGATAGCAACCCTTCTGAATTGCCAAAGTCTAGCTATTGTGACTTCTTGGTCAGTACATGAGATTTCTCCAGGCAATTGCCTGGTTAGCACCTTCCTCTCTCCAGGAGAATGTAAAGCTCAAAAAAAAAGCAAATTAAGTCCTCTTCAAAAGTAGCCTAAATAATCTGGCTCTGTTAACATTTCTTTACTGTTATTGGAAAATCTTTATTTAGCCCTACAGCTAAAAAAAAAAAAATCTAATTATTTCAGGACAAGCAGCTGTTTCGCATGTTCTGATCCTAGAGCTCCCACTTGTGCCCAGATGGGAAATTGATTCAAGGAAGAACTAAGGGTCAGCCCATTTAGATTGTGAGGTTCAAGCAGTGCACTCGAGCAGCTGGTCCTTAAACTTTAGTGTGCATTTTAACTATATATAAAATGTATCACAATACAGGTGAAGGAATACAACCTGTAAACCAGGACCTTTTCAGTTAGCTTTTCAGAAAACTGAAATGCAAAACAAAGCGTGAGAATCTGTCTCAGAGGAAAAAAAAAAAAGCCAAATCTCCAAAATGGAGGTTAAAACCAATGGCTCTCAAATTTTAATATGCATAAGAATTGCCTTGTGTTTTTATGAATATTTTTATGCTGAACATTCAGAGATTCTCTGGATTTTAGGGAAAGACTAAAAGTCAATTTTAAAATAGACACCCGAAGGTGTTCTGCACCAGCTGGTCTTGACAAACCCTGGCAAAGACAGTCAAGTTCCCCAAGTGGGAAAAAGCTGCTGGAGGTCAAAGGAGAAACTTAACTGTTCCTCTCCTCACAAGGAAAAGAATCAGCTTCCAGATCCCATCATTTAACATCACAAGGCTATTTTTCTCTTATTACTTGGAAATATCAGAACCCACTTTGGGAGAGTCAGAGTGACACATTTTTCTAAAGGACAGACCTAGTCTTTAGTAGCATCATCTGCTTGAGTCAGATACCCGAAGGAGGCTTCAGAAGTCATCCAGGTCAACTTCTAGAGGCTAGACCCAGAGAGGTCAGGTGCTAGGCCCAGGAAAGGACCTCAGAAGTGCAACAGTAAATAGAACAAGCATCTGAACTCAGAGCTCCATGGTGGGCTATCAGAGAACAATGAAGAGTCTCTGAACACACCTTCTCACAAAGCAAGCATGCTGTGCTGTCTTGACTCTAGCGTGGGTGCTGGCACAGGGATCTTTTACCACATGATGCCCCTGGGCACCAGGCTCCCTCTGTTTCATTCACTGATGTCTATCACCTTCTATTATGTACTGCTCTCATCACATTCTTCTCTCACCTTGAAAAGGTGAAAAGAAAAATTAATTCACAAATCTATGAGAACCAGAGAAACACAGTTGGTAAGAGTTGAGTGCTAATGCACCCTTATGCCCAGAAATGAGCTCAAAATACTATGTTATCATTGTAATTATTTTTAAGATAGCCAAGTAATTGAAGCAATGCTTAGACCTGATTTCTAATCCTGATGTAACGTAAGTGGGATAGTTTGAAATCTCTCAAAGGTTACTGTGAAACTATCAAAAACAAAATTAAGTCTATCCTTATCTTTTTAAACTTTTGCTAGCTTGATGGACAAAAACTGGCAAGTCAAATTATGATCCAAAGGTATATTAGCCCTAAAAGGATTCAGAATAAATAATCTACATACTGAACAATGATTAATTATGAAAAATAAAAATCAGGAGACATTTAAGCTTCATTCAGATCATGAAAGCAGTATTTATTCAAGTTGACAGTTCTATAGTTCTAAGTCTATGAAACTGATTATTTTCTCCTACTGTTCCCACCCAAAGTGGCTGTATTAATCAGATCAAGACTATGGACAGTTGTTGCCTCGAAGACACTCAGGTAAACGAACTGTATCATGTAGTCTATTGGTCAGACTCTATATTGGTGATTTTGCCACCATGGATCAGGAAACTGAAGAGTCAGAAATGGATCTACCCTGACCACTATCCCCTTATAAAAGAAACTATGGCTCAGAGGTTAGACTGTTTAATTTAGATCACCAGATAGTTATTTGCCGATGAAGAAGTATAACCCAGGAAAGTTCTTAATTCAGCTCCCAAGGAAACTGAGGCTAGATAGTAAGAATAAATACAAGGATACATAGTATAGTTATATGTTATTTAAATAATTTTCAAGAGAATTAGACACTTAGGCAAACAAGATGAGAATGTGTCACTGAGGAGACTGGGAAGTGTTAAGATTGGCAAGGACCTATACCTCTTAACAGGCACCCAGCAGATCCATACAACAAAAATCGAGATTCTTTGTTGTCGTTCTGCCTTACATCTTTAGAGAACATGTTTTAAAATAGCAAGAGTCTGAAGTTTTATTCTCTAATAAATTCAAATGTGGAAGAATCATATAGAAATAAGAATACCTAGGGACGGAAATCACTCCTGCTCCCGGTTTAGTAGGATTACACCTCATTTTCACAGCAGTTGATCGGCCATTAACGCAAGAGGTTGTAGTTGTAGAGGACCTATTTGAAGGCAAAGCAGATGTGACACAGATTATAAAGACAAAAATATCCTGTGCATAATTGCTCCAATGCTCTATTAATAAATAAAATAATATATCAAAGTTCACTAATTTAGAATTTTAATACACATGGAGTTCATTTACTTCCACTGTCTATGATAAGTTGACTATTCCCCAAGTAAAGAGATAAGCTATCATCAAAGGATTTAGTAAAGCTATTGTAATTATAATCAAAATTATAATCAAAAGAATTTTTAAGGAATTAGAGGTCGTATCTACTTAAGCTGATGTTTTGATGTTTGAATTATAAATAATTACTGCCTAGACAATGAAGTAGTCTCTTTATTGACTAATTCAAAAGATTATATATATGAGAAAAATTTTATAATGCTCTCTAAATATTCCAAGTTTCCTATTTTTTTACTAAGTCTTTCATTTAAGAACCAATTACTGATTATCTAATAAGTATAAGCTACTATGCCAGGCACCCTGAAGTGACATCTTTATGATTAAAAAATAGTTAAGAGAAGCAGCATGTTCACTTACTTATAAAAGAAATGCACATCTGGTATTTGGCTCGGTGAAACTGGGAACATATCTTCTTTTATATTAATATTTTGCAATGTGGTTTCAACTGTCACTCCTAGATGACAATAAAAAGAAACTATTAAATAATATGGGAAAATTAGATTTATTTAGTCTCTGAATATCTGAATAGAAACTAGCTTTACTTTGATGCTGCCATTTAATTGGAAATATTGTATTAAATTAATTCATTCTTGGTAAGAATAATAAAATTCACAGTTTCCAGAATAAAAAATAAAAAGATTCTACTCCCCAGCTTTGCAATTTTTCATAAGTCACTTTACTTTCTTGGTTCTTATGTCCTGAATCTGCAAAATGCATTCAATAATTTAGATAACCTTTAAAGTCTCTTCCAGTTCTAACATTTAAACAATCTAACATTAGAATTACCTTCTTGTGAGTTTTGTCAAATGAGCTGGGCTACTTTGCTAATGTAGGTTTTTTGTCCATATTTGACAAAATAGAAATTTTTGTGCCTTACTAATTTCCAGAAAATAACTCCAAAATTTGCTTAATCTAGAAGTAAGGCATTCCCTTCACTCCAGGCAAAAAGGGAGCAGAGCCAAAATGCAAGCAGGAACAGCAACCTTTGTTCTAACAGAGTTCTGATGCTGAGCACAAGCTCAGCAACTGTCCTTGGTGCTGAAAATTACAGTTAAATTCTTCGGCAGTCTGTATCAATGGTTCTCAAATCTGGCTGCAGAATACAATCATCTAAGAAGCTTGTTAAATTGCTAGATTATCATATGTCTTGTTAGATCCCTAATCCCTACCCCAGAGACTTTAATGAACTTTATCCTTAAGAATTACTAATTAGGGACTTGAATTACTCTTAAAAGTTTCTTATACTTTCCAGACCGCAGGGATAGAAAGGGCAGGTGGGGAATAACACTCATTCACTCTTGCTGCTTGTCACCAGCTTACTTCTAGTATGAGAAAAGATGATGGAAACTGGTAGCAGATACTATGAGTTAAGTTTATATTGTTTGTTTACTGTTCTTTTGTTCAGTTTTTCTTTTGATTTTTTAAAATTATTTTGCCTTTTAAAGTCCTAGAGAATCTGATGAAAGGCAGACTCTCAAAAAACAACGTATCATACATGAGTTAATACATAAATTCGGAAGCTTCTTGTACTCACTGAGAATGATCAAAAAGATTTCACTTGCAGGGGCTTTTTAACCATGTTACAAAGTGATGATTTAGAATTACCTGCAGACTTTAATCATCTATGGTAAGCACCAATGCATGACAAGTTATCAGTACCATAGTTTTAGAACAAATGCATGCATATATGAACCAAATGAAGCTTACCTAAAAATGTATCTGCAAGAATGATGGATTGTGATGATAAGGCTGCTCGGAAACCCTTACTTTCAGAAGGAATAATAGTTGACTGGCATACAAATGCTCCTACCAAATTCGTGTAATCATCTGACCCTGCCACCATTTCCTTTACTGTAAAGTCTGTAATATTGTTGGTACAGAGAGCCATCTTCTTCCCCTAGAAAAATAAAGTCATAAAGAGGTTTTATTGAAGGTCAGTCTCTAACCTGGATCTCAGCTAGCCAGTAACTCTAGCAGAGCATGGGCTCTTTCTTCCCTGAAATTCTGATTTAACTGATCTCATATGGGGCCTGGGCACCAGCACTTTTAAAAAGCTCTTGAGGCAATTCCAGTGTTTAATCAGGGTTGAGAGTCACTGAAGTTATAATGAATACGGTAATTCAAGACTGTAAGGCTCCTGCCAACTACAAGCATCATCTGTGCTGGATGAAAGCCGTCTAATTTAAGGAAATAAAAGTCATCTATGAAATCTTCAGTTCTTAGGATAACAATGCATACAAAGTAACCAGAAAACTCCTGGTGAATGTTTCAATACCAAGAAAAAAGACTTGCTCCTTCTCCTTCTGTATAGGCCATATGTGGCAGAAAAGTAATGTCAAGGCTGAAAAAGAAAACATAAAAGTCTAGGACAACATCTAAACTCTATAGAGTTACTACAAGTGTCTTTATTTACCTACTCTTAGACTGTGTGATGTGTATCTGCTCAACTAGACAGTAAGTTAAAGGGAGTAAAGGAGTTTAGTGTTTTAATCATTTAAAGGATAGTTGGAAGACACAATTTAGGAAAATCGGAGGACTTTAAATATAGTATGTTTAAATAAACTGCAGTCCCACTGCAAAGGACTATAACTTCCTCTAAAATTTCTACGAAGAAATGTATAAAGAAAAACAAACACTATTTCATTGGTCTTAGATGTAATGTGCACAGATAGGCATAAATAAAAGAGATTTCTCTTTCTTAATGCAGCTAGCAATTCTAACCTATAAAATTTTCTCCCTTCACCAAGCCCACTCAACAACAATGCAGGTGGCAACATATTGTTACTAAGCTTGAATTAAATTGTTGACACCATAAGAAAGAAACAAGGAAAAAGAGCAGAGAGAAACTACTAGGGAAAGGAAGAGGAAAATGACAGTAAAAGGAAAGGAATGAGAATAAAGAGGAAAGAAAGAGAAGGAAGACGAAAGAGAAGATCAAAGACAGTGGGAATACAGGCGTAAGACTGCGAAGTGTGATGTATAATGGAATTAATTTTATTCACTGCTTTATGCAGTATTTAACACAACAGGTGTTTGATATGTATGTATTTACTGAGTGAACTGAGTGACTAATCAATTGAGGGAGTGTGTTGGATCAATACACATAAAATCAGGACAGGACAAATGCCATATCACACAGAATGTACTGATCTTTTTGTCTGAAAACTTCATCAGATCTCTTTTTACTTCCTTTGTACAAAGGTTTGCATAGCATCTGATAATGAAGACCACCGGAAATACAGGAGTTAAGATGGAAAGAGACATGGAGGAAATGCCTTATTATTATTTTTCACCTTTGCTAATGGTGAATGCATACATCCCAAACCCCAACCTTGTATGCCCACAAAAATACTGGACACGTAGTCCTATAACTCTCCCATTACCAGCATCAATTAAGGCTCTGCTTCTTCCCAAGGAAAATAAAATCCCATTATTTATTTATTAGCAGAGGGTACCTGCTCAACTGAAATTTGTCCCCTGCTTTCTTTTTCTTTTAGGACAAACTTCCTCCTGAAAGTCTTTTCTTTTTCAAACACAAAACTGAGGATATAAACAACAGTAAAAAACTTTCTCAAACTATAACTTCCTGCCTAAAAAAATAGGTGGGATTGACAAGCTTGGCCCATTTTTACAAAAATGAAAGATCTTCAAAGCACTTGTATCACAGCTCCAAGCTTTGGGGTTCAACTGACTGGGTAAGTGCTTTGATGGACTGAGAACCAGACAAGGTTGCCCCTGGGGGAGAAAACAGCGAACATGCTAGGAGGCAACAGAGGATTTAAGCTGTCAGAGCTCAGTTTCGGACATTTGGTTGTCAGTTTCCATAGAGATTTTTACTGGTCCATCAACACAGAAAATAACTCAATCAGAGCTGACACAGAGCTCCATCTCACCTTGGCAGCCAAACTCACCTCATGCCCACACAGACTGATATTGAAGAAGTGGAAGTATTTTGTTCCTTTGGAGGTAAAGCTGGGACCATTCATTAATGAGCCCACACTGCTGAGGGTGCTGAAGTCATAGCGCAAACTCTGATTTTCTTTCTCATGGTAGAAAAAGCAGTCACTATAGCAAACTGAGTGGTCCTTTGATTAGATATTAAGAAAGGTAAAAAAAACCAAAACAACAAAAAAACAATATGGTAGGAAAGAAAGTATTAACCGCTATGAAAAAATGTGCTTCAAAAAAACTGTGGTTTCAAACTATTTCAGTAATTTCTGTCTTAGTTACGGTATATTTTACCACGTTAATACAGAAAATTCCCAAACTCTAGATTTCCTGAGGCAAAGTTCAGAAGAGTCAGAATTTTTTTTAGAGAGTAAAGTTATTCTAAGATTAGTTTCTTGTAGAAAGACGTTTTAATAAAAAGACAAAATTTCCTGTTGTGCCAGTTTAAATATAGCTTAAACTATGTTTCCTTCACCCATAATACAGCATCAATTTTTGCCCTTAAAATATTATAAGACCTACTTGCCGTTCTCCATATCCATCTACAGCTACCTACAGAGAGGTAGTCACTTGCTCCACCTTAATGGAATAGATCAGAAATCGGTTCTAATATTTTTGGGAAGTGTTCTAACTTGGAGGCTCTTCTTAATATTTCACATCCCCAGTCATTAGCACATTCATGGCACACAAGTGCTTCATGGATGTGAGAAGAAATAAGATAAGAAAGGGAATGAAAATGTCCTTTATAAATTTAGATAGCAACTTCATAGCTCCTGGAGACACAGTAAGAGGAACCTTTGAGTTTCTCTATTAAAACATGCTTTCCTGGGGATAACGGACATACAGACCCACTTACCTGAGTGCTTCTACTCCCAGGCCCACATGGAACACAAGCCTCCTTGCCATAGACCTGATGAATGGACAGGTAGGTGTCAGGGGGACACTCCTTGCACTGGTTGGTTTCTTTCTCAATGTAGTGGCCTGGGGGGCAGGGGACACACGATGAGCCCGACTGTTCAGAACCGAGGGCACAGGCACGGCATGAGGACGCCACCCCATCAACTGCATTAGTGGCAGTGACAGAATAAATCTTCACCAAGTCATTGACGAACCGTCTGTTCTAAAAAGGAAGCAGAGAGTGATGACTTCTGCCTTGGGGCGCAGTTGTACAACCAGATTGTTTTCTGTTGATACCATCAAAATTATTAAGCTGAGTGTTCCAGCCCAACAGACTATAATTGACAATGGATTAATATTATTCCTTTTTGCATCTTTTTTTTAAAAAAACTTAAATCTTAATACTAGAAGGTAACTTTTATAGCAATGGAGTTCCAGGAGTTCTGCCACAACCACCATAAGATTATGTCAGAACTGGTACAAATTCAGGCATATGTACAGACTTAATGTCTGGAAGAACTAATACGATTTAACAAAAGAGCAACCTTATCTCCCATCACTGTTTACTCAGACATATGCCTAAATGTACTGATACAGTAGGATGTCTGCAGCGTGGCAAGGTGCAAAAGACTTAGACTAGGGATTTAAAAGGCTTAGAGTAGGACTCTGGTCCTCACCCAAACACATACGGTGTGATCTTGATGCAATCACACCATTTCTTTGGGCTTCCTCTCTCTCTCTCCCTCGAGCACTTTTCTTAACCAACATAGTCTGATTTCTGCTGAAGGGATATATAACAGAGAGTGAAAAGTAAATCTCCAGCATCTTGCTTTACTTCTCCTTCTCCTTCTTATGACACTGGGTCAATTAAGGTCTAGTTTTCATCAGGTGGTGAGCATCAACATATCATTAGAGAGTGGCGTTGCTGTAAGCTACTTAATGTTTTCTGTCTAGGGCAAAGACAAAAGGGAGGTGAGGAAGACTTCCATAGCATGTTCACGCCCTATGCGGTGGGAATCTGAACAGAACTTCTAGAGTCAAGTAAAATCTTCAGAATGGGTTCCCCCGTGACAGCCTAAAGGGAAAAGAGAAAATGCTTCACAAGTGCTTGCCACCATTGTTTTAAGGCAGCTTCTGTAAAAGTGATTTACCTTGATCTCACCCTAAGAAGGTCATGTCAATGGAGATCCACAAAAATAATACAAAAATAAGGTGTAATTGAAGCATACAATAGAAATCACTTAGGAGAGGATTAAGGTCTACTCTAGCAGGGAAAGTAAAAGAGAATAAACAGTTACGTGTGCTAACCCAATTGTGTGTACATACATACTCTCCAGGATGTAAAAGGAGAAGTAATTACTGTAATGGAATAATAACCAACACCAGTTAATGGCTCCTGGACAAATGTCAGATCATTCAGGCAAGAAGAAGATAGTCACCAGCCTCTCCAAAGTCTCAGAAAGCTTTAAAAGTTTTAAAATAATTACAAACTCTGATTTCCTATGTCTTAAGCTTTTAGCCACTATATTTGTTCAAAGTGTCAAAAGATTCAAAGATACATTGTGTTATTTCATTTCATACATTCTTGTTCTCAAAACACAAATCAAAAAAATATCATTTTTATACCAATCCACGCCATAACCAAAAGATCGATTCCATATCAGTAAGAAGCTAACTCTTTTTCTCCAGGAGACTGGAGTAATCACTTTGCACAAATGTCGAGAGAGGGCATCATTTTTGTGTTTAAAAAAAAAAAATTAAAAAGTGCTTGGAACTTACATCTTGACCCTGATTAGTTCTCTGGAATGCCCACGTAAATGTAAAGGTGGCATTCTTGAAGATGATGTGGGTATAAGCTTGCTTTTCTTTCGTTCCACCCCATGATTCCACCACATTGGTACTTTTTCTATTAATATCCTAAAATACAGTAGAAAAAAATAAATACCAAAAAAGCACAAACTCAGTATTAATTATACATGTGTTTACATTACAACTGTATGTTTATATTTACAGTGAACCTTAAAGGGTTAAATGTGAATATTTATCTACAGAGCACGTAACCCTAAAACTCTCAAAGCTCCCCTTTAAGTCTATACAAAGACTCACTGGTCTCTTTCTCACTGGCCTGAAAGAGGTCTCAAGTCATAGTATGTTTTTCCTTTTGGTGAGGGGTGGGCTTCTGTGTATGTGTGTGACTCTACCTTAGGAAATACACTTCAAAGGGGAAACCTAATTCTTCAAACTTCTCACAGTAAACTTCTAGGATCATAGAATGAAAAGGCTTTCCATTTTTATCTTTTCCCTTGAGAGACTCAGACAGGTAGCTCCAGCACAGGAATTCTAAGTTCCTCCTGAATTATACTTGCAATTTCCAGTGCAGTTTAACTAGAATGTTATTTTATGTTCATGCAATCTTTTGCTTGTACTTGAATTTCACAAAGATTAGTTTGTGAAATGTTTTATTTCTGAATTCCTGGGCCAAATTCAATATTTAGAATAGTATATAAATGTGTGACATCCCAACCAGTATGTTGTCATTAACATGGTTAGAAAGCAAATATAGTAAGTAAAGCAAATAATGTAATACACATCTAATTTGTTTGAAACGAAAACCCAAGGCTAACCCTGAACTTTCTAATTAGTCTTCTCTGCAGAAACCCTAATAGATGACTAAGGAATTTGGATAGGCCTCTGTTATCTGAGATATCGATAATCCAGTGGCATGAGCTCAAGACATGTCTCTTTCTTTCTATGATATAAACAGAGAAGTCAAGCATGCTATAAAGTAATCAGATATGCTATAAAGATACGCTCTTCAGTTCACGCTGCAGATCAAAATATCAGTGTGTGCTTGTCACACATTTTGGAATTCCCCACAATACCAGACCACCAAATCATCATACATGCCATTTCCTGAAAAGAACTCATAATATACAGATAGTGCTTTGTTAAACACCACCCTTCTGGAAGTTTATTCCAATAATAATGGAATATATGGCACTACCGCAAATAATACCACCTTACCTTTAATTACGTAAAACACTGTATGATTTTGAAAGCATTTTGATATGCTATTTAGGTGATGTTATCTCAAAAAAATCCTGTGCAGAGATCACAGAGTGAGGGAAAGAACCTAGCAGATACTGCTCTACGCTAAAAAACTCTTAAGATTGATTTACCAAAAGAAATACATGTGATCTCTACCCTCAAGAAAGCTTGGTCAAGTGAGACAGACAAATACATGAATACATTCAAATCACTACAATAGGGTTTTCAGAGCAGACTGGAGACAGTGCTTACCCTGACTTAAGGAAGTAAGAGAATGCGTCTCAGAAGAGGTGATGTTTGAGCTGCCCTCCAAATATGGATGGGAGTTCACCAGACAAAAGGACAAAAGGAATAAAGTCATTCATTCTAGTTTAGAGTGTGTCAAGGCATTAGAAATGAAAAAGTATAGAGTGTTCCACTGACAAATTCAAGGTGTCTAAGGAGGGGTAAGTAGTAACAGTACTTTGGAAACAGAGGCTGGGCAAAGAGTGCAAGAAGCCATACAGACGTCATGCTAAGGAATTTTACATGTATTCATAGGCTGCTGGTTCTCAGAACCACCCTCATGGCTTGCTAAACTACAGAAGGCTGGGCCCCACCACCAGAGGTTCCCATCCAGACCAGGGTGGGGCTCAGAGACGTGCATTCCTAACAAGTTCCCAGGTGACGTTGGCACACTTTGAGAATCACTGCCACAGGCAATAGAAAGCCACCAAAGTGAGCGGGTAGATTGTTGCAGCTGCCTCTACTCGTGTTTTTATGTTTATAAAGATAATTTTGACAGCAGCATGGATGAAAGAATAGAGATAAAACAAAGGGATGGGAGACTACTGTTTAGAAGTAACAGTTGAGAGAGAACAGAAGTGTGCATTTCAGTAATGGATGGCACTGAGTATGAAGCGGAATTAACAGATTAAAGAAATAAAGAGGAGGGGCTGGGAGAATTGGAGGCTTGCTGGTTGTTCGTGGTGTAGCAGATGGATGTGTTAAAGGTTATCCATGACCTTTTACTACCACAACGTCTATTTTTTTCCAGGAAAAAGTAGTCTGCCTTCATTTAAGCTATCAGTAATCATGAATAAATATTTAAATCTCCATATATCTTATGTTTCATGGAGGAAACTGTTATTGGACTGTTAATATTAACTAGCTGCTAAAAGATCATTGGGAAAAAAAGCAAAAACAAGTCATGCCTATCAAGTCACTATGTAATTATAATGCTGAAGTCGTAGCCAACAATCTTGTAAAAATACCCACGTAGGGTCTTAGTAAAATTTGTGTTGCTACTTTTCTCAAGCTAAGAGTTGAGACTTATAGGACCTTGGTGGGGGAGGGAGGGGAGATGGGCAAAACTATGACTTACAGTAAAGCCCTTTGTCTACATTTATTAATTTAAGAATTTAAGGAAGAGTTTTCTTTTTCTCAATGCTCCCCACCTCCATTATTTTGTGCCCTCACTTATTATAACATGTTTTTCCCTCCTGATGATTTGAATTTTTGAATGGTTTCTAGGGGAGAATTTTCACCCTGCTGGAGGCATACCCTTATGAAGGAATTTTCTACAGTATCAATATTCCCTGGCTTCTATCCATCACCCCTACACTCAGTTCTCCCCACACGAACTGAACACTTTCTTTGTAGGCATCACTGCAATCCTTAGTGACGTTTTTGACATTTTTAAGTGTTTTTGGAAGGTCAGAAAAATGGGATTCTTAGCCCAATTGGAGGTGGATTTCTAGGATTAGCCTTCTCTTCCAAATATGTTCACATATTTGTATTCTAATAATAATATCACATATTCTAATCCTAGAAATCCACCTCCAAACGCCACGCTTTCGCTTACCACCATGAAGTACAGAACACAGTCGGCCGAACAGAGGGTCTCAAACACAAATGTTATCCTGCCCAGTTCAGTACCCATAGCTCCAGTCACAGATGTCGGCGGCCTATTGGACAGATCAAAATTACAGTATTTATAGCATGTTCTAAATACAACCTGAAACAAAATTAAGTCACTTTTTTCATTAACCTGAAAGCCACACTCTCCTCTTCCCCTGATCTACTGCTCCTGCCAACCACAACTCCTTCCTCCCCTAACCTCTGCGTGGAGTCTACACAGTCACAGGGTTAAGCTCAGATCTCCCAGTGTAAATGCTGTCCCATCCTACAGCAAGGAGAAGACTCCTGCTGAAAAATTTCAATATGAGGGACTAACCAAAATGTCATTAAACCATTTGTAACACTACTGCCCAAATAGAACTGAGAGAAAAATAAATATAAAAGCCAAAAGATACTTCTGCTAACAACTTAAGACTAATATCTCAGAATTAAGCATCCGGAATCATGGTTATTGTAACATCTGGACAGAATATATTCAAAAACTTTCAGCTTCATCTAAGTAATATACAATCAACAGTTATTGTTTCTCAATCACTGATTCTATAGGTATTCTTAAACATAGTACAGTATCCTATGCAGCTTGTTATTTGCTAAATACATTACAATGTTAATGTATTTTATAAAGATAGTCCTACTTCATCTATTTCTATAGGGAAACAGGCATGAGGATTCTTACAGAAGAGAATCAGAATTGGTTTTTCTTACTTAAATCCTGGGATATGCAAGTTTAAGATCAGGTAATCATTATCAGAACCTCCAGCCCCACTCTGGATATGATCTCCAGCCACCTCCCAACCTAGAAATGATAAAAGTTATCTTTATCAATAAAAAGTTCCATTAATGACTTCCATCAATCTTTCTATATAAGGCCAAAAAAAAAAAGAATTCCTATTTTTAAATTGCAGTTTCAAATTTCATGAAGAGCTAGACTCTTAGATACTAATAAAAACGTTGCATATGATTCTCCAGGAAGAATCAAGTAATGCATATTTTTGCATACATGTTATTTAACAGTAAAATTAATAATAGTTTTCTCAGTGAGGCATGATTACTTTTTAACTAATACAGATGATCTTTACCCATTTTAATATATTAAGATGGAAAATCCCAATCTTCAAGCAACCAATGGAAATAGACACTTCAAATTACTTAATGAAGATGCAGGGTCTGGAGTTCTTTCCTACAGTTTGTTGTACTGTTGTTCCCTAATTAACCCCTGTTCTGCATTCCTTCACTTATTCATTCACTCAGCTGGCATTCACTGAGTACCACGAACCATGACATACACCAGGGTTAGAAAGACATGACTGGGTGAGGGTGGCCTCACTGAGGAATCAGCAGACTACGAGAGACACAGCTGACAACTGTCAACAGTATAGGGTGACAGAGATGCACAAAGCAAGTGATGTGAGGTTCATCCCCTGCACAGAAACAATGAGCATGCCAGGGTCTGGCACAGCCCCTGTAAAATGAGGAAGGGAGAAGCACCCCACACACACCATCAAGCAAGGCTATTAACAAATGGCAATGCCTCAGCACCAACACGTCCGCCGCCATAAGAAAATGCCAACATCTGCTACTTCAATAGGTGTGAGAGAAACTGGGGAAGAGATTTGTATCATCAGTGCTATCCTGGTGATGTAGCAAGTTTTGAAATGTTATGATCGACAGTTCATAGAGGTGATATGTGGAATATACATAATTCAAGCTAGTTCTAAAAATGATACGTACTAACCTACTTGAGGATGAGAGAAACGCCAATTGTTCTGCCAATCTAAAGGTTCATGTGGCTGAAAAGAGACATAAGCAGGTCCTAATCACCTTCTAATGCAGTGGGATACCAAGCCTTTGACTGCAGTGTAAGTAATGTGAAAGGCTTTTAGGTTTAGAGAGACAGCAAACTTGTGGCTAGGGGTCTTAGGGAGAGCAATACTCCCATGTGGAGGAATTCTATACGTAGAAAGGGAAGACTTATAAATGTTTGTCTAAGATCACTTCCCAATGTTCAGCTATGTCACCGGGACAGAAGGAGGGATGGAATCTCAGACAAGGCCAAAGAAAAGAAAGCAGTGCATGAATAACAAGCCAGGTTGGTTTGGAGGGGACTAGAATCCTTGCAAGAAGACACAAACATTCCCATGTTTGAACATGACCTGCTGTCAAGTATTAATGTATCCTCCCTGCCTCAAAACATACATTGAAGTCCTAAATCCCCAGTATTTCCAAATGGACCTCATTTGGAAATAGTCTCTGCAAATATAATCAAGTTAAGACGAGGTCGCTAGGGTAATTAATCCAATATGACTGGTGTTCTTATGAGATGAGGGAAATTCAGACACAGACACACAGGGAGAAGATCACGTGAAGACAGACACACAGACACAAGGAGAAGATGGGGAGAGAGACTAGAGTCACATTGCCACAAGCCAAGGAATGTCTGGAGCTCCAGGAGCTAGAAGAGGCAAAGAAGGTCTTCCCACAGAGGCTTTGGAAGGAACATGGCCCTGCCAATGCCTGGGTTCCAGACTTCTAGACTCCAGAACTGGGAGAGTGGAAATTTCTCTTGGTTTAATGTTTTAGCCCAGTTTGTTGCAGCAACTTTGCCTTTTGCTTTTTCCCTCAGAATGAATCCCACATTTTCCATGTTTCTATACATAATTTATATTTTAAGATTTATTTTTCTTTGCTTTTAGAAATCATATTTATATGTATTACAAAATTTTAAAAGCCACAGAAAAACTTAAATATGAAAATGAAACTTACTTACAAACTCATCACCCAGGAAAAAACCACCGCTAACATTTTGAGGTGTTCCTTTTCACTATCTTTTGATGCATATATGCTTTTACATCACTGAGATACTATTGTTGATGACACTTTGTATCATAGTTTTATAAATTAACATCACTGCATAAGGATTTTTATGTATAAATACTGCATCAACCTGCTAATGACTGAATTAACAGTTTATCATGTAGATAAATATAATTAATTCCCATAATTTACTAAATCACTCACACTATAGGACTTGCCCGTGGACCACACATCCAATGTAACCACTGGGACTGTTCTACCTTTTAGCTAGTATAAGTGACACTATAATGAACATATTTTTGGTAAAGATTTTCTGTATTTTTTCAGAAAAGAATCCCAGTGACATAATTATTGGGTCAAATAAATATATTTTTAAACCAATATTTTGTAATGTTATTCTAATTTTGAAAGCAATGTGTATCCATGAATAATATTTATTGAATACAATAAACTAAATGAAAAAAATGAAGTAATTCAGACTTCTCAGAAACTTCCCACCCTCAAGTGATAAACTCAACATTTCAGTGTATTTCTTTTCACTCTTTTTCTTGTGCATAATTTTCTTAAAAACGTAACTTAGGCTTTACTGTAATCTACTTTATTTTCTGCTTTTTTATGTAACACTATCTTCTCACTTTTCTAATTATCATTTTATCAAAAATATTTCCCCATTAAAAATCCTTTCTATATCTAGTGTTAAGGAGTTAACAATATGTTGTATGTTATATCATCAATACGTTATAATTTTATTTATTCAGACTTCATTGTTGAAAACATTGTTTTCTCTTATTTTTGACTCTCATTAATAACACTAAAATTAACATATTTGGAAATAATTTCTTTATGTCACATTATTTCTTTGGTATAAATTCCCAGAAGTGGAATTACTGGGTTGGAGAATGAGAACACTCACAATTCTTGAAACACTGCCAAATTGTTTTCCGTATGGCTGTCACTTCTAATGATTATACAACATTTCATCCAATTAGTACAGCATAACTTTTGTAAATAGTATTTTCTTGCAGGAATTTATAGATTATGTCAATTTCTGTTATTATAGGTAATGTTCATTGAAAAGCTTCATGATTAAACAGTAACTTGTTCTCAACTCAGAATTCCTCTTAGGGAAAATTCCAATACCAGATGTACTTCTACAAACTTGCTCCACAACTGTGGTAAATTCAGACTGAGAATATAAAAGAACTCCAAAGCACTCCAAGTCACAGTTAAGCTGGTCAAAGTGCATCCACTTTAATTCCATGATGGGGCAACTACTCCATGAGACAGGTGACCCTGGGCCTCTCGCTTTGACCCCAGGGTTTTGAGTGCTGCTCTTCTCATGGCTGGTGACTGAACCACTCCTCACAAAAATATACATCACCTTGTATCTTTTTGTATTTTTCAAATTTCTGCTTGCTAGTTCAATATCACATACCAATACTGCAGACATGTACACTTAATAACAGATCATTTCTGAAAATTAGCCAAAATTTAAATGATAGCCTCTAAGTGAGTGAGCAAGCAGGTAAATTGAATACTATCATGAGCATTAGACTAAGAATAACTTCTTTAAAAGATCAAATAAAAGTTTCAGATAATCTTTACTAGTAAGTGAATACACACACACACACACACACACATTGATGCTTTCATCAACACATTCCCATTCTTATTTTTCCAATGTCTTACACTTTCTCAACTTGGAATTCAACCATAGGATCTTTCTGGAACATAAACCCTTATGGCTAGGTAATAACTACTCTGTTTTTTTCCTCCTTCTCCTTTAGGATAAATTCCTTAAAGCAGGATTATTAGTCTATAAAGAGAACTATTCCATAATGTTCTTGGCATATGAAGGCTTTTTTTTTTCACACATCTGTTTAACTAGAATTATTCAAGAACCTATTACTTGTCAATCTGTGTATCCCTCACTTCCTACACCCTAAGCCTGTTAATTTTGGATAGTGCTGACTTAAAATAGATGCAATTGAAAAACATTTTTTAACAATGATCAACTATAATATTGAGAAAAATGAACAGATTAAAAAATGCCAATGAGTTTATGAAAGTAAAGGGTATATTGTGGTGTAAAACCCTAGTATTTAAATAGATGTTAACCTATTTCCAGTGTCAAGTTTAAAAATACAAACATAGATATTGTCATTCATTCAACCAACAAATATTGCAGAATAGCCAAGTGCTAGGCTCTCTGTGCATTTAAAATATTAGAAAAAAATATAATTCAGCAACCACCCTATAGAACTCTGCCAAGTCTTCAGTAAGTGAGGTTCACATACTTTGTAAACACTTCATAGGCAAGGGGAGTTAGAGATGATGTGACCCCTCACCATGGCCCAGTGCTGGGCCAGACCGAACCAATCCAGGCAGAAACGCTTTCACACAGTGGTATGTATACAGGATGACTCTTTCAAGTGGCAAAGAACATAAATGTCATTACCTCCCTTGGTGATCTATTCTGGTATTTATAAAAACCATAGTGACCCTCCATATCTACTTCAAAACTGACTCTAAAAATAGTTTATATTCTTACAGGAAAGTCATGTGGCTATGACATCGCATTCACTATTTTTATATGAGGGCTGGAGGACAGGCAAGCAGTCAGATGACAAGAGGTTCCTCATACCCATGTACTTAGTGTGTTTTCAGACAGGTTCAAATGCACTGAGTAGGCTGATTCTGAACTCACCATTCATTCCGTCACACTTGGAATTCCCAACATTGAAGCAGGAGGTTTTCATATTGCCAGGAAGGACATTCCACCACTTATATTCAAACCCCAGTGCAGGCTCTGTCCCTGCTGGGCACGGTCTACATTCTACAGGAGGCAAGTGGGGCAAACAATCACAATTAAACTGCATCTGGACAATTTCCTCTTCCTCTGTTCCAAGCACTACTCAACTGTAATTAGCAGAGAGGTAAGTGGGAAGGACAGGTATTAAACCATCAATTCCCTTAAGAGTTAACGTTTTCCAGAACAATCTGGAAAGAAAAATCATTCTGGATAGAGTATATCCATATATACTCGGACAAGGAAAAGAACACAGAATCGTTTAAAATAAATGTTCCTTTCATTTCTGGGAGTAACTGCTAATACTGAATTCCTCTGCATATGAAGAGTCATTCTGAAACAAGTTCTCTTCTATGTCAATTTAGAATCAGTTTCCTCCACCTTATAAATAAGGAAATATTCCACTATTTCTATTAGTTATTAAACTTTACAGAATAGTATACCACTTAATTACAGACTGATTATTTGAAATTCAAAATATTGGCTATACTGGAAAGTGATGATGGAAGTTGAAGGGTGGGGAAATGGTTATATTTATAAATAAATCTGATTTAAATTAACATCCACAACATTGACATACAAAGGTTTTTTTATGACCACTTTTGAATTTAGCCAAGACACTTTGCATTATCACATCAGCAAGAGAACAGGTAGAGAGAGAAAATGTTCATCGAGCAAGAATCTCCTGGTACCAAAGTCCTACAGAAGACATTTTTACACACCCTGCTTGATAACCACAAGCTAGCCATATTCAAGTAAGATACCTGCAACAAAAATGCACTGTAATCTTTGTCTAATAAAAATTAAAAAAATTTTTTTAATTTCTCTTTCTCCATTTTATTTTTATTTATTCATTTATTTTTGGTCGGGGAGACGTAATTAGGTTTATTTGTTTACTTAATTTTAATGGAAGTACTAGAGATTGAACCCAGGACCTCATGCATGCTATGCATGTACTCTACCACTGAGCTATATCCTCCCCCTGCCTAACAAAATTAAAACAAATTCTATAACCACTTTCTTTATTTGTTAAGTGTTAAATTTTCCCCAAATATACACTTTGAAACAATCTACTTAGGGACTATTTTAATTGCCATCTGATCAAAATAATCAATTTTTTCTATTATTATAGCATAAATTGTGATTACTCCAAAGCTGAAATAGAAGTTATATTTTATGCTTGCATTAATATATGTGCACATACACACACTAGAAAAGGAGTGCTTATCCTTAATCACATAAATTGGTGAAATTTTTTTATAAATACCCGAGAGACATCCCATTAAGAGAGTGTTAGTTACACAAAATGCCATGAAACACTGCAGTCTCATAATCCCCTTACCATACTTCTTAACTTGTCTTCAGTCTGTGAGATAAGAAAATTATGTATTTTAAAGAACTTTCCACAGAAACAATTTAGAACAAATGTCAACGTGGTCTAACAAGATGATTTTACTAAAGGTCCAATTCTTGACTCAAATGACACCCTACCCTTTGTTCCATCTGAAAACGTTCCAGGAGGACACGGATGGCAGGAAGATGATCCATTGTTATAAAATCCTGGATTGCAAGGTGGACAATCCTTCTTCTCTCCAGAAGGGGGCAACCGAATAGCATCTGTGAGATCCTCCCGGCAGATTTTGGGCTCTATCCACTTGTACATTATCTGCGTCTGCAAAAAAAAAAAAAAGAAAGAAAGAAAACAACGCTCGCAGGTCCCATAACATACTTCATTTGCTCTCAACTTCCAATAACAAAAATGTTAACTCGACAGCCTAGGTAAGGTACAGATAGTGACAGAACTGAAGGGCCAGTTAAAGAGAAGCTAAAACTTCAGTAATAAAATGAGACAAAAAGAAGAAAAAAAAAACTTTGGTAACGAAATGACCATTACTGACAAATGTTTGTACCCTGAGCAACAGGAGGCCTTACCTTGTACACAGCATGGTCTGCATCATAAAATTCCTCTCTGAAATATTCTCTCTTCCTTTGCCCCACCCAGAACACACATCATCATGTTTTGCACATAGTGATCACAAAAGAAAAAGTTTATTAAAAAAAATCTAGCTTCATATTTCAAACCTGTCAGTTCATAAGCACTGGTAAGTGCTCTGAGTCTTTTCCAATAACCTGATGTTAGACCACAAGACCTATAGCACGAATATTTTCTCCTAAGGCTCCAGGCCCTGCTGCGCATGCTCTGAACATCAAGATTAAGACAGACTCTACCTTCGTGCAGAGTAGACTTTTAAACTTTATCCTTTTTCTCTCTCACACATGCACACATTCACAAACAAAACGAAAAATAAAACTAAGTAGCTATACTCAGCCAAACCCAGAAAACTGTGATTGTAAAAGGATTCTTTTGGCCCAGAAACGTTAAGTGGGTTAGCCATTTCAAAACAAAATTTATATGCTTAGTGAAAAAAATAAAAAGTATTCTGAATGCAAAAAGAAAAATCAATTCTTTTATGACTTAAAAAAGTCTCCTTCATTAGCCATATCATCTGCTGAAAGTATTGTTTCTGCTTTGAAGCAACTTCTGCAATGTAAGTCTAATACTGAAGCAGGAGAACCGAAATTAAAGACAATTCTCCATACCTATTTCCAGCTAATGGTAAATCATATATAATAAGCCCTTAGGCCACTCAATTTTAGTCCCAAATATTCCCTTATGGAAGAGTAAATTACCTCATCTAATGAAGGATGTTTAAGAACATGGTTTAAAAAGGAGATGTCTCAAAAGAATTATAAATAACAAGTTTTTCTTTTTACAAATCTCTCTTCCTGCATTTATATTATGGCCTACGTCACAATACAGCTTAACCAGCCACTTCACCCATCTGTCTCTCTCACCATCTGTAAAATGATGGCTATTCCTACTGGAGTTTCCTAAATAGCTGAAAAAATAAATTAGATCCTGTATCCATAAGGGGCTCTCAATGCCTCTGAGAGAGACAATATAAAATTCAGAGAATCTAAGTAAATGAAACATCACTACATTTGGGGGATGGTCTTGTTTTAATTCTGGCTTAATGAGTATAAAAAGCAAATTTCCACTACTAATCAATTCACAAATTTGCCAATTTACTTTGACATTAATTGCACTGAGTTACATGTGAGCTACTACATTTTGGGAAGAGCTGGTTTCCACGTGGGAGTGGGTGCAGGGCTGAGGCTGCTCACTGGAGGCTCACCCTGGGAGCACTAGGTAATCCTCCTCACCACTTTGGGAGGTCAGTTTTATTATGCTCAAGTTTATAAAAGTGGAAACTTCAGATAAGAGCTGTTAAACGTGCCCAAAAGTCATACATAGTTAGTAAATGGTAAAGTGGCACTAGTCAAGGAGACTCAGTTTGGTGAGGGTAAAAATAATAAAATCTGCAAATGTATTTTTGACAAATGAGCTAACTACATGATTTTCAATCCAAGCACAGTACATGTTTAAAAATTAGAAAGGGCACACCACTTTTAGAAGTCAAATTTCAAATGCTCTGGAGCACAAGTTGTTTGCAAAGCCTCTTGCTTCACGTGGCAGACTGATTCTGTGCTCCTCTTTCTAATACGGACAGATGCTGTCAAGTCTGGCTGACTGGGGAAAGATAATAATTAATATTAATGATACTGAGCACCAGATGACTCACAGTGCAGGTGAAAAACCAACAATCAACTCATTCTTTGGCAAACTGAGATAAAATTATGAAATGCTTTATGAAACCAAAACCCTAATGAAGCATAACTTAGCAGATTGCCATTAAGATTACAGAAGAGCTATGGTTCCCAAGTATATTAAGCATTAGAAAAATGCATTTTGAAGAAATACATTGAAAGTATCCACTGGAAGCTGGTTTTCATATCAAAATCAAAATTAAAACCGGGAACACTAAAATTTAGACAAATTTCAGAACTGGGTTTGTCCACGGTTGCCAGCTTTCTTCCTTCAAAAGTCCCTGCACAAACGCACTAAGGTTTTGGAGACTGGCTGAACTCTCTAAGTTTAATTATACGTGCTTTAAAAGGGTTACTAGCTGCCACTCCAACCTAACAGCCAAGAGACTCATGATGTTCTAACTCAGATGTCCCCACCCAGGCAGGCTATCATGTGCCTCTCTCTGCCTCTCCCACACCTTGATCCTTTCAAGTTGCAAGCCACTGGGCACTCATCATTTGTATCTCTTGGAATTACCACACCATCCTGCCAAGTTGTGTCTGACCCCTCTCTCAAAGCCATGCTCAACATTCACATGTACTCTAAGCATGTCCTCAGCCCACTCATCTATGAAACAGCATACACTTAGATTCCTTTTCTATGAAGCCTCTGAGCTTTTCTGTTTTTTCTTGTGAATACCTCCTTTGTCCCTCTTCTAAATGCTTAAAAGCCTGGGTCCTCTTCTCCCATTATGTGGGAAATATCATGGGGATTTAACACGGTACTGGAACTTCTAGCCAGGGCTTTACGTTAAGAAAGTGTTCCTTTAAGAACTGACTTGTGTGATGCTGAAAGGAGCTTGGAGTTACATGGTCTGGTCTCCCCAGCCGTAGGGGTTAGCAGGTGAACTAAGCTGTCCATCCAAAGTAACCCGCGCTGGACAGAATGGTTGGTCTGAGATGGGCTCATGATTCAAGCAGGGCCAATGTGAGTCTTTTCTGAAGCTCTGGTCAGCGCTCCTATGATCAAAAGCTGTGAGGATGATAGTGCCTTGGGTGGAGATGTCAGTGGGTATCTGGCACTACAGGAAAGAACATGCCTGAGAAGGAAATCAAACTGAGCCAAGAGTATCAGTGAGAAGAGCAAGGGAAAGGCTTGATAAAATTATTTGCTCTATAGTGACTTCCCAGTCATAGGGTCAAGAGACTCCTGCCCTGCCTCTCCCAATCCCAATTTTGAAAAGTAAATTTAAATTCATTAGTGTAATTTTATAATTATCCCCAAGGGTAGAAGCAAAGCTGACACCCTGCTTTATCATCATTAAAAGGAAACGTTTATCACATCCCAGAGTGGAAGGGTAGGGGGGACCACTTTTTACTCTGAGATAAAACTGACCAAAAAAAAAGTTACTCTGTCCAGTTCTAGTATCCAAGATAAATAAATCCATAAGCCTTTTCTATAAGTTGCTGACTCCTTTACAAAACAACCTTATGCTGGTGACTTATGCAAGCAGGTATGAGATAACCTTTGTTGCTATGATGAGCAAGTGAGAAGGCTTGCTTTTCAACCACAAACAGCTTGAGCGAAAATCCAATTTTCAGTTTTCTGTATTCGTGGGAGTTTTTTTTCCCCCTTTAAATTTCTGTTGCATTTTTTATTTAGTGAGCCAGGTCTTCTAAAGGTTGGATTATCTTAGAAATCATTTTGGCAAGTTAACATTTTCTCTTTTATAAATACTTTATATCTGCGATTTTCTTTGACACAAATAAACTTTGATTTTACTAATTTGAGCTCATTGTTGAAGCACATTGAGGTCTTTCTGAATCTTAATATTGTCACTCTTTCCCACTTTACTGATTTACAATTTATTCCTAATGTCTTCATGCAAGTTAAGGATTTTTCAATTAAATGATAAAAATAAGTGATCTGAACTCATGTTCTTCTTGCTATGAGTTAGGATATGTATACTTTGTTAAATTTATATTCTGATGGCAAATACTTGATACTAACTACACTCCTAGTTAATATCAACTACACTCCTAGCTGATATCCACTTATCAAATCAAATGTTTTACATATAGTTTTCAATTAGCCATATATTCATTAAACTATATTATTTGGTCCACAATTCTCCATCTTATCCAGAGGGAGATCATGAGAAGCTCTATCAAGTATCTTGCTAACATTTTTTTATAGAGTATGTGCCCATTATCACTGGTCAAGATTCTTTTGGGCTCAAGTTTCAAGCACTGAATCTGTGCATATGTTTATACCTCACTCAACATATGTAAAAACTGGGCTCTGAGCAACCTTTAGAAAATAAAACACATAAAAATTTCAAGCTAACTCACTACTATTGTTAGAGCAGACAGATAGCTAGATATGAGCAGAGAAACCATATATCTTGTAAGCACGGGGGCGGGAGGTCCTTGGGCAGACAGAGAAAAGTAGGAACCTTCAGACTGACAAGAAATAACACATTTTGGAGTGACAAGTGTCCTGGAGGCACGTAAAGAAAGATGGGGAAAAGCAATAATCTCCAGCGTCCAAGTGTAACCTTTTGCTCATTATGCCCTCATTACAATAAAATTAGCCTTGCAGATTAGAAGTATCTATCATGCACTGACGCCATGACATTTCCGATCTAGACTAAATAAGGACAAAAATCCCTCCTCCCCTCAGGAAGGTGGAGCTGGGATGGAGACCAGGGAATAAGACTCCAAACCCTTCCCTCCCAGTGAATATTCCACCCATACTTTTTTCACCCTATGTAACCAGCCTGCCAACAAAACTCAGCGTAGCCTTAGTCTGCCCACTCTCTCCTGAGAGTGTCCTGTCCCTTAATAAAACCTCATTTTTACTTTCTCGACCTCCGTGTTTCGCCTCTGAACTCTTCCTGTGATGAGACAAGAACCTACTCTCCAGTAACAACAGCGCTAATAAGCAGTAGATGTGAAAATCAAAGCCAGGAAGACAAGCTTCAGAGTCAAAATTCTCAAATTTCCTCTGTGCTACTTGCACATGTGTGCTATGAATTGGCTCAATTAACTCTCTCATCAACAAATTCGAGCCTGCTCAAATTGGGAAGAGAGTTGGGTAACTGTGGGGTGCAGCTGACTGAACACGGCCTGTACCTTTCCTTCCTCATCACATGGAGTGTGGATCTGGAAATAGTCTTTAGTGGTACAGGGAGGGCGCTCCGTGCACTCACTGGATCCTTCTTCTGCAACAGAAAAATGCATTTCAGAAATGAGTCATTTACGCGGTGACTCTCAGAAAAGGCCAATGTGAAAATAAAAATTTTTTAAAAGCAGACAACTGAAAAGTAACAATAACCTCTCCAGAGGAATTTAGGTAGAACTAGCAAGGCTTCAAGAAAATAAAAGCCTGTATTTTTATTTTCCCTAAAGCAAGAAATGTTTCCATGATACACAAGGAGCATATCATAGTTTTTCCAAGAAACATTAAATTTCTTCCATTATCACTGGACTGATATGACTTTAGCACTGGTTTCTGACCCACTGTTTTCATCACATTTTGTCTGTGATTTCTGGCTTATGACTATACACTCTCAACAAACATCAATTTAGACAGAAAAGAACAAGGAGCATAAACTGGAGTTTATACTAAGAGTCTTACCTGAAAACTGAGAGTCCTCGTCACACTTGATGCATTCTTTGGCTCCTTTCTCAGAATAGGTGTTTCTGGGACAAACTTGGCAGACGAACGACCCCGGTTTGTCGCTGAAGGTACCTGGCTTGCATGGAAAGCATTCTGACGTGTATGCCACCCCTGTGGTATGGGAAACAGAGCATGGCAGAGAGGACCCAATGGCAACATGCGCATCAGTAACTTCTCCCTCTGTGAGAAGTCAGAGGGAAATATTAACCGTAAGCTCAGCCTGGGGCCTTTATAGCCCATTAATTCAACACCGAAAAGGTATTTACTGCGTGCAAGGAATTCGGATAGATATTGAGTTAAGCATAGTAAGTATAGCCAATAAGAGATTCAGATTTGATAGAGGTATACAGTCAATGTATAAACTCAACAGTCAAAAGATAACTCCACTAATCAGAAGGGGGACAAACTCTAAGGTTCCTCCAAGTGCACAAGCTACCATTGTCTCATCTGTATGGCTTCCTGTTCCCTTTTTCTCCACTGCTCACTAAGGCACAAATAAGACCCTAGGAAACGCTCAGACTTTTCTTCTGGTTTACAATTCCAGCCTTTGCCAGCAGATGTCCCTACGACTAATGAATTAACGTCACAGAAACAGTACTCAAAACATCTAAAAACGTAAGCCAAACTTCAATAAAGGAGAGTCACTGCTTTAATTAAAAGCAGCCGCAATTGAGAATGAACCATGCCAGGGTTTACTGGCCACTCTCCTGAGCCAGAAGAGGCCCAGCTTGTTCAGAGAGGCTAACGGTGTAGGAGACATCCAGGCCGAGATGTTTATTTCAGTGTTATTTTTATGGATACAGTGGTGACGACAATAAGCACTATGCCGGCACACTAGAGATTTCTCAACTGAATAACAGGCTGTTATTAATAAAGATTATTTTCTTTTATTTAAAGATACCTACAATTGTCATTATGTTTACTTTTTCACAAAGATTAAAAAATTCAGTTTAGGGTAGAGGAAAAAACAAAAAACAAAAAACTCCAGTGAACTTGCCAGGAATAAAACCAGGGTCTCTAGACTTGTATGATGCCTAACATATTAATTTCTGTCCCATATGCCCTTGAAACAAATAATATAATCCATATTTTAACTAACTCTAAAATATGACAGGTGACCACTAAAGCTGATTGCTGTGAAATACCTTCAATTGTGATATTTTTTACCAACACTGGCTTGACTGCCTTAGAACCCATAAGGATGCCCGTAGTTCTCCAGTACAGGATGTTTGTGCCTGATTTCAACATTACCTGTAAAGAGACGAACAAGACACTCAAGGTTGGATAAACCCTGCCACTTCCAACCACACCTAAAAGCTAACCCCTTGCACTTTTCAATGCACTACGATGAAACATCATTAATTTGGAACCCATTAATTTAAACCTACTGTTAATTCAGACCTAAGCTCTGCTTAAATTCACATTTTCTTAAAACAAATTAGTTTGCCAACCCCTCCAAAAAAACATAGTACTGAAGGAGGAAAAGAAACTCCTTCAAGCCTGAACAAGAAAGAGAAAATGATTTTCAAATCATTTGCATGAAGTCTTGGTTTATATTTAAAAGGGACTCATTTTAGAGAGTGAAAGGCATTTAGCCCAATTATATATTTATTTGGCTGCCACTATTCATAAGTAGATCTCTGGGCTCTGAAAACGAAAAAGTAACAGAGTGAGTTCTTTCCTTTCAAAACTATTTAATAAGCAACACTGCAATAGCAACAGAGGAAAAGCAGTACTGGTCTTACAGAATAACCTGATTCAGCTCTATGACTCCAGAACTTAACTGATACTACATCTGATATTTGTTTTCTTTGCCACCAGAACATTTTTATTTTTAAAAATCAAACTACTTTTCTGATAAATTTCATGCTGATTCAGTCAAGCAAACTAACGGTAAGGGTGGCTTGCTTTCTTATTTGCCACCCTTATTCTTCGATGCAGTATCTGGCTGGCCAAACTCAGGCAGGATAAAACTCACAACATATCCGACTACTTTCCCCTGTCAGAGATTCAGAGAAGTAACGTGCTAAGTACTTTCCTCTTGTATTAGGTCTCTAAGTGACAAAAGCATATTTGTTGCCAAGGTTTACTTCTACCTTCAAAGCCCAGCAGCCTGAATGCTTGGGTGAATGGATCTTAAGTGGTACTAAGCATATGGATCAAAAAAATTACTCTGAAAGGTACATGATATTAATCCCTCAAGGATGAGGTACCTGCTACTGCACAAAGGCAATGACAGATAGCAACTTACTGAGAGAGAGTTCAGTCTGCGCTGCAGGCACCACACTAGGCCATCCCCACATAACTCATTGCTCCTGCTTCTCACATGAACTCTCAGACTCCAAGAGAAAGAAACACAACTGCCTAAAGAAACACAACTACTATAAACCAGACTTCGATTTTAAATCCATGTCTCACTCTGAAGGGACAATGCCTCAGATAATGACAGATTCAGAGACTGTGTTACCCAATAACTGCCTCGAGGCATTTGGAACTGTCCTTGGAGAAGCAAGCAGTTACTTTACGGGATACAACCAGAGAGGGCAGAACTTTGAGCAATGGGTGGCAAAGAGATAGAAAGCAGCCTCCAGACAGGAGTGAACTGTGTGATGTGCAGAGCTGTCCAACAATGGAGTCAGCACAGACCTCAACAAGACAAGCTTGAAAATCACTTGGTGGGGAGACTGCAGAGAAAGTTGGACGAAAGGAACTCAAGGGTCCTTCTGACACCAAGAGCTACTGATTCTCTTTCATGTGACGGGCACATCAGTAAACTTACACACTCAGAGGTTCTGTATATTAGTTTTGGTTGGACACACTTTTTTTAACTCTTATTTTTTTTGAAGTGTAGTCAGTTTACAATGTTACTTTCATGTGTCAAGCAAAGCAATTCAGTTATATATGTATATAATTTTTTCAGATTCTCTTCCATTACAGCTCATTACAAGAAATTAAATATAGTCCCCTTGCTACACAGTAGGTCCTTATTGTTTATCTATTTTACATATAGTAATACGTATTTATTAACCCCAAACTCTTAGTTTACCCCTCCCTGACTTCCCCCTTGTTAACCAGTTTGTTTTCTATGTCCACGAGCCTATTTCTGGTTTGTAAATAAAATTTGGGTTTTTTTTTTTTAGATTCCACACATAAGCGACATCATATGATATCTGAATGCTCTGTCTGACTTACTTCACTTAGTATGATAATTGAGTAGACTTATTTCTTGTTAATGCCCCTTTGAAAAGGAGGAAAGTTAAGAGTGTGTGGGGGATAGGGCAGGGAGAGGGAGCAAAGGGCAAAGAAGAAAGTAGGAAAATAATACTAGGAAGAGCTTGAGTCCATGATACTCAGGGGCAATTTCCTTCTTAACTAGAAATTTCTACATTAATAAACAATTTTGACTTTTTCTTAAAGTAAACTTTAAAAAAATAGGTTGGTAAAAGGAAAGAGAAGAATGGGGCTGGTGGGAGAGCAGAACAGATAGAAACTTACAGAATGAGAGCCCCATTCTCCATTGTCTGTGAGTTTTACCCACTTGTCAGCGGTGGTGTCCATCTCCTGGCACTGATCATTCTGAATCTGTAGATTAAACACAAGGGCCCCAGTAAAGCTCCTTGAATGATGGCTTTAATTAAATTTGTTACTCAGCACCGGACAGGGCTGCAAGAGCTTCTTTCAATGCACACTAAACAGTGGCCATGAGTAATTCTCAACAAGTAAACACACCAAGACCTCTGGACCTAAGTGACAACTGCATATGAGTGAGTAGTTCTCAGTACACCATCCTCATTATTGTAACAAAGAGACTAGCCCATTAAGAAGTAGGGGAGGCGGGCAAGCAGGAGCCTGGGAGGCAGAGGAGGAGAGAGCAGTTAATACTGAAAAGTCACATAAAGGAGAAAAAGTCATTAAAAAATTTAAAAGCTTGCATTCACCATGCGGGCCCAATAGTATAAAAAATAAAGTTTATCTGTATGAGATTCAGGGCAGTAAAATTTTAAATTAATAAATAAGTGAAATCTGCTTTGTTTTCAGTTCCCCAGGACTTAATCCAAATATGCAGTAAGTGGCTACAGCCAAAGTCAAAGTCCCCAATTTGTATTTGGGGGCAAATGTTAATGATATGCCATGCCAGTTCAAATGATGATGGCCAACACCTTTAGCACCAAACACTTTGTGCTTTCCAGACAATTCTTGAAGATGCCTAGGAGTTGGGACATACTTTTCCAGGACTACAAAGAATACATAGGCATTAAAAAGTGGGCCATTTTTATAGTCTCACACAACAGTCAGCAATGGAGTAGGGTTAAAATAACATCTCATCACCTATACTTCTGTCAAAATGAATACTTCTCTCTTCTCTAAATCATTTTTCCACTTCATTCATTCTTCTGATCAGTTTTACAAACAATATTAAAATCTTTTCCAGAAGAATCATTTCCTAAAGAGTTTCTAACTAGAAAATAGATCCTTTTAATAGCCAAATACCAGCGATTATCAGCTACTGAACATATTTGGTTTAATTGAATCTAAGTGTCATATTTATAAACATAATGACAATTCTAGTGCAAGTGTTAAGCCATTTTTAAACAGATATGGACACTGAATCTATCATTGGTGGTTCATGTTCAGTTAAGCTGAAAGCTTTTTTTTTTTCAGCTGAAATCGGACATCATGTGTTATTGTGACATTCTACTAGCCTTCTGGAGACCTGAGTTCTGTTGTTCACTCCAAAAGTAACTAGTAAAGGTATAACCTTGATCCAATTACTTAGTCTCTCCAGGTTTCAGTTTCATCATTTGAAAAAAATAAAGTGTGGAAGGGAGAGCTGAATGAAATTTCCAGACTCCTAAAGTTAAATACTTTAGTGCTTTCAATTATGCAATGTTCACAAGTACAATTGCATCTCTCAGTCTTCAGATATTTCCTTTCCATTAACCATTAGCAATGATGACTATAAGGTGTTGACTCTCTGAGTCAATAAATTGCAATCTATAAAGCTGAAATGCCAATAAAAGAAGGAATATGAACTCGACATCCCTTCTCAGTCTAAAACCAGAATAACAAAGACATCATTGAAAGGAAGTAATGAAACTTCATGCCTTAAGAGTATCTTTACTGACAACTCTCAAAGGACTTAAAGGACAACATAAAACTAAATGCTTATTTCAACAATTACACAATTACCTTGCTTCTTAACTTTATTTTAGTTTAGTACTATTGCAAAAATGTCCCACGGAATAGGGGTTCACTCTGAGAAGTGTCTTGCAAACAAAGTGTAACTTAAATAGCAAATCTGTCTGAATATTGCTTACCATCTTAAACTCATCACAGGAAGTTAGAGCTAAGAGGCTCTGCCAACAATTCACTTTACAAAAAGAAAATGCTGAGGGCTGGAAAGTTAACGTACTTGTCCAGTAACACTCAACTAGCAACTGCACAGTTGGGACCTGAGCCAGAATCTCTTGACTTCAAATCTAAGGCTCATACCTTCATGGAAGGTATCTCTTCCTAGCAAAGCTTTGATTTAGAAATTTCCATTATCGAGAGCAATATAAATTTGTTTTAGAATTATTACCCCTTTATTCCCAAAGTCTGGACCACAGGAATGTTTTACAAGATATTTTCCCAGTTACTTGCACAACACACACACTTTTTTTTTTGGTTTATGAAGTCAATCTGAAGACTTTTTCTCAAGCATTTGAGTCACTGCCTCAACAAATATTTGTGAGATTAGATATGGTTTATATAAAATAGTTAAATAATTTTCGTTGTAATAGCCCATTCTGTTAGACTATTATTTTTACCCTATATTATGTAATGCTATTTAATCTCTTGCCAGAGACATGAATTATCTCATTGATTGATTCCTTATATCCAAAAGTAAAATAAGCCAAATGTTATTCTACAAGGTGAGAGCTCAAAGGTAAAGAAACAATATTAACAAGAAAATATACAAATAAACATTTCATATCAAAAGCTCCAGTTAACACACAAAAAACCAAGAAGGAATACAATGGAATGGGGACAATCGATGAAGAGAAATTTTACATGGAAGTCCTTTAAAAAGTAAATCCTAGAATATAAAAGGCCTTACAAAGAACTCAAAGAAGATGTTGTTGTCGACATACTGGTACTCAAAGAAGACATAACCCGACTTCTTAAGGTGCACAGCATAGATCAAGGATACCGTGCAGTCATCACGATTTGACTCTATGTAATTTCCACGGGGAATCCAAGAAGAGCTGTGGAAACAAAACCATTTCACGTTAGCGTTGGGAAATGGAAAACGTTTCTGGTCACAAGTTTTGTAACTCAGATTCAATAGTGGTTTCATCAGCAAAGCACAGCAGAGAAGTTCGAAGCTCTTGGGGACCTCAAAGACCAACGCCCTTATTGGGAAAAGGTTTATTTCTTGACACATGACTTCCGAATTTGTGATAAGGTTATGCAATCAATTTGCTGTGGAACTGCTATGTTTCACCAAAACTTTGATCACTAAGTAGGTGATCACTAATTCCAGTAGTCTTAGATGGAACTATTCTCTCACACAACATCTAATGTTTTATTAACAAATATACACCTGGCAGGGGAATGCAGGGGATCCTTGATAATGAAAGAAGCAACTGTCCTAGAAAAAGCCCATTTAAAGTGAACCTAAATAACATATAGAGATAGTCTCACAGTACGTCATAGGGGTAAAAGCCTGATTGGAATTTTTATCTGAAAAATAAAATGAAAACTTAAGAAAATACATTAGTGAACAAAATCTGGGTTGCAAATCTAACCATGAGCTAATTCTTACATTAACCAATAATAAGTCATGTGTTAACTTTTTGGCCAAAAAAAATTTCTAACCAAACTATACGAGAGCACAACTCAATATCCTTCTCTTCAAATTTAACTTTCTATGTGGATGGTAAGAGAGAGATTTTGGCAAATTCTTTTCTTTTCACTAACAGAAAAGAAATTTCAAATGATAGGCTGAAACTTCTACATCCTAACACAACTCACTAATTGGCATTGGATGTGCCCTTTCTCTTTAATAATCTAGTAAACTAAACAAAAGACATGACTGTTTTCAGGCACTGACAATAGGCAGTGCAGGACTGAGAATCTCGACAGCAGGAAAACACAGAGGGTGAAGCCCACGCTGACCCTGACCTCACTCATCAGGATACTCTCTAGACTATGGCACTGGGAGACAGCACCCAGGCAGAGCCCAGTGGTCTCACTGGGCTGAGGAGCGGGAATGAGAGCCTCCAGGGCAGCTGCAGCAACTGAAATGCACAGGCGTGAGAATCAGAGAAAACAGGGGCTCCAGAATCCCATACAGAGTTTCTCTGGAGGTCCTGGGCTTGGGGCTGGAGTGTGCAGGCCTACCAGGCAACAGCTACCACAAACCTGAGACATAATCAGAGACATCACTTTTACGGGCGTCACAGGAGCTCCAGGGCACCCAGAGAGGAGAAAATGTAATAACCATATCAGACATTCATCTGAGACTCCAGAATTGCCACACATTAGGAATAAGGGTCACACCCTAGGGTAGTTGTCAGCATAAAGTCAGTACTTTTTCATAAAGGGCCAGAGAGTCAGTAATTTTGGCTTTGTGAACATCTAGTATCTCTTGCAATACTTAACTAGGCCACTGTAGCTCAAAAGCAGCCACAGACAATATGTAAGTAAATGAGTGTAGCTGGGTTCCAATGCAATTTTATTTACAAGAACCACAAAACTCCAGCCCTAGAGTATAGACCATGACCTAGAACTACGTGTGAAACCAATGCAGAGCCACCTTAAAAACTTTTTAAAACCAGGCCTGCTGAGAGCAAGGTGCTCTTCCAGTAAATACACCGCCTCCCAGAACAACATTCAAAACCGTTTAAACGAAGGAAAAAATAATCCACATTCCCTACCTGTTCACATTCCTGACACCCAAGATACAATAAAAATTTACTAGACATGCAAAGAAGCAGGAAAGCAAGACCCTTAACTGAGAAAAAGTTGTGACCTCTGCAAGATATCTGAAGATAAAAAACCCCAACCATAATAGAAAACATTGGTAAAATTGTACTTTTTCAAATTTTAAACTTTTATCAAAGGACACCATTGAGAAAATGAAAAGTCAATAGCTACAGACAGAAAGCAGTACTATAGACACATATATGCATATGTGCATGCATATGTGTATGCGTATATTATGTTAAATATTAAACATATACATGATAAGAACATGCCCAGCAAACACAATGAACTCCTATAGCTCAATAATAAAGTGACCCAAAAAAGTAACAAATGGTTAAACATTTTGATACTTCACACACACACACACACACACACACACAAACATATAGACAATGAACATATGAACAGTGCTCAACATCTTTATACAGAAGGGAAATGCAAATTAAAACCACAAGTAGCTATCATTTCTCATCGGCGCACTAGAATGACTAAAATAAAACAAGACGATAATACAGACGTTGGTAAATATGCAGAAGAACCAGAATTCAAATGCACTGCTGGAGTCTAATGACACAATCAGTTTGAAAAGTCTGTCAATTTCTTATAAAGTTTCACATACATCTTCTTTATGACCCAAGCAATTAAAAAGAAGCAAAAAGAATGCAAGATTGGGTGGATGGAAAAAAGGAAGGAAGGAAGAAGGGAGGGAGATAATCATATCAGTATCAGACTGAAATTTACACTGAGAACATTATACTAAACAACAATACATTGAAAAATTTACACTTATCGTTCAATTTCTTTAATGAGTAAATAATTCCAAGTAGAAAAAGAAGTCACGTCACTATCTCCTGCCCCTCAAAACAAATATCTGAGGCCTCGTAACATCCTACTAGAACCTTCCTCTAAGGAACTCTTTTATTTAAAAAAGAATTAAATTAAATTATACACATACAGGTTTCCCCCATTATGCAAAAGTACAGTGTCCCCATGAAACCTTTTGTAAGCTGCCATGGCGTAAAGCAAAGAAGCAATCACTTTAGGACACATCTTGCTAATGGGTTTACAAAATAAATCGAGATAAAGTCCAGATGCCCACAGACACAGTTTCAAGTTACAGCAGCTTGATGCTGAGACACTGATTGTAGTTCTGGGAAGGAGCTTGGTGGTGACACTTGCTGCAAAACCAACACTGATCACTATTTTTGATTTTTGCCTTTTTTTGTAAAAGCGAAAATCCGCTTCAGATTTCTTTTGGTTAGCAAAAACAGGTACTAATAATATAGGTATTTCATAAAAGTGTAATGATATAAAGCAAACTTTGGAAAAGCAAGGGATACCTGTATACACATACACGTGTATGTACACACATACATATACTACACAGGTTTGAACTGCACAGGTCCACTTGTATTCAGAGTCTTTTTCACTAAATAAACACACATTACAGTACTACCTGATCCATGGTTGGCTGAATCTGCCAGATGTGGAACAGTGGACACAAAGGGCCAACTGTAAAGTTATAAGCAGGTTTTCAACTTCAAGGAAGGTCAGAGCCCTTAACCCTCACATTGTTCAATGTGTGACATATGTACAAACATACATACATATATACATGTATTTTTTATATGTTTAGAGGAATAATCCTGTCAATACTATATAACGTCACAACCTATATGATGAAATGACCCTTACTAGAAAAGTAAAAATGTCACTTGGCAGTGAGAGAGAGACAGCCAGGAAGCAAGAGGGATGGAGGGAAGTCAGGAAAGAAGAAAGGGAAGGAGCAAACACGTGTGTTATCACAGCTAAAGAAATTCCCAGCATCTTCAGCTCATTGTAAAAATTGTGAGTTCTTGGAGAAGCCATCTTTGTCAGAAGGTACCCAGAGGCCTAAAGTTTAATTCTCCTAAACATGGCCATATGAGAGGAAATGTTACAGAGTCAATAAAAGAAAACAGGAAGGGTAACAGTCCGAAAATAAAAATTCTGTAGTCTTTCAAAACAATTTAACATTCCTCCAGTATTATCAGAGGCAAAGCTAATAACCCCCTATTAAAAAGGTAGAAATTAAGCAAAGGCGCGCCCCACTTTAGGTGTTTAACCCACTCTCTTCAACAGAAGAAAATCAAGTATCTAAATAAAGGTTATACGTCCTTCCTTTCAGAGGAAGATTTTTAAAATTTTAATTTTTCATTATAATTAGAGAATGGTTTGTATTAAGACCACCAGCTTGAATATAGTTATAAACATGTTATTAGCAAATTGATTTTTTTCTAATAGCTTTATTGCATTTTTGCATACAGTATCTATTATACCCTAAGAGCAATTATTTTAACCTCATGAAGATTCAGCTACATTATTCATAAGGACTATCCAAAAACTGTAACTCTTTGAAATTAGTTGATCTATAATCCCAATCACTACCAAGATTATCCTCAACTTCTTTCTGGAAAAGAGCAATGACACCCTCCTCAAGTATTCAGTCAAGACCCAAAGGCTCCTTTGGATCCTTACTTGTTACAGCCATCTGGCCTGCTGTCAGAAGGGCCAACCACAGTGTCCATGAATGTCGCAATGTTGGAAAATCCAGCTGGCAGTTCATCCCACTCATCAAATTTAATGCCACTGCCCAAGGAGTAGGTGCCTTCACCACACTTACTGCACACCTGGTTCTTCATTTCGAGATACTCCCCAGAAGCACAGGAGAAGGCTGGAAGGCAGAAGAACACAGAACACATCAGTCACTGCACCCCCATCAACTTCCCGCTGTTCACACTGCCATCAGCATTATTTTCATAAAGCTCTGATCCTGTCACACCCTAATTAAAGCTTCCCAAAGGCTCCCTTATCACCACACGCACTTGACAGTCTGGCCCCAACCTATTTTACTAGGCTCCTCCCTTGACCCATTCTCTTCTAACCACAACAGAAGTCTGACTATTCCCAAAATGTTTCATCCCCTTTCTCTCCACCCTGATCTTTCTTTGGAGAAACACCAAAGGTTGGTTTGACTGACCAAGCTAACTGCTCACCTGGAAAACTCCTGTTCCTAACTCAAAAACAGCCCTCTTCATAACAAACCTCCCTGCCATATACATATATATTTATATACATATACACATATACAGTTGATGTGAGACCTTGAGCTTCCAGAAAACAGGGATTATTATTTTGGGATTCCTAGCTGGATCTGACAAATAGTAAGTGCAAATAAAGGGTTGATCCAGTGATTGACATAAACATAAAGGGGATAACGGGAGGCTAGTGTTTCAAGTGCAATACTAAACAAATATCTCCACGAGTCCATGTTTTCATTGTTCACAACTCCCACCTGGTCATTTCCACAACCGCCATCGTATTCCCGGTGTCAAGTCCTGTGCTAATTCTGAGAACTGGAATGAGAGACAACAGCCCTGGGCAATATGCAGAACCGCTGACACTGTTTTAGAAAAGAAAGCAATTCTGCTGCTAAGTTATTATTCATTCAGCAAATGCCTGACTGTGTCCCCCAAGTGTGTGGCTCTGTGCTCAGGGCAGTATTAGTGACTCAAACATAGCAAAGAGCTTTCTAATCCTTTAATCTGGATACTAAAGAAACAAGAACAAAATAAAACCCCCAAATTATCCGATGAAGGAAAACAAATCTCCCAGCAGAAAGTGAAGCAGTAAAGCCTCACGTTTAGGTAGACTGCCCTTTTAGAATACATCTGGAAACCCAGCAAGAAATAAAAACAAGCTAATTTTGAAAAACCAATTTAAGAATGAGAGCTAAAACCCACATTCATCTACTTACTCACTGAATAAACATGTTTTTCTTCAGAAAAGCTTAAGATGCTGTACAATGAACTTCTAACCTTCAAATCAAAATCTCAAAATTAGCAGAACATCAGAAAATAAGAAAAGGTTAGTTAGGCAAAAAATATTGCATGCTGGCTATACGGTTAAAACTATCTTGGGACTAAGTTGGACAATTTCCTAATGCAGTGACCTCAAGTGAGTTACTTCATTTCTCTGGACCTCAGTTTCTGTCCCTGAAAAATAAGATAATAACCATAGAACTGGCCTTGTAGCGCTACAATGAGAAAACAAAATAAAGTGGTTAGCACAGTGCCAACATTTAATAAATGCTCACTACACGCTATTATTATCACTACCAACACTACCAAGAGAGAAACTCAGTTACAGAAAAAATTAATTTTACTTCCTACAGTTTATATGTCTTCCGGTAAACTGATAAACAATGTCATAAACCAGGATCTCACATTACACTAAATCAATGGTCAGCAAACTAGATCTCACAGGCCAAATCTGGCCAGCTGCCTGTTTTATTAAATAAAGTTTTATTGAAACACAGTCACAACCATTTATTTATATATTGTCTATAGCTGCTTTCACACCACAATGGCAGAGTTGAATAGTTGTGAGACTGTACCACCTGCCAAGCTGAAAACATTTACTTTCTTAAATAAACAAGATCCTACAGTACAGCACAGAGAACTACATTCAATATCTTATAACAACCTATAACAGAAAAGAATACATGTTATGTATGACTGAATCACTATGCTGCATGCCAGAAACTAACACAACACCGTAAATCAACTATACTTCAATAAAATAAATAAAAAGAAAATTTTAAATAAAATATTTACTTTCTGATAAAATGAAGTTATCATGGAAGACAGTTCAGTTTAATGTCCCAAACTGAAATTTTAACTAAATAATAAGTGATTTTTTGTAAGTTGTTAAAATGGACCCTAGAATCTAAATGGGAGATGACTGTGTTTGTGTTTGATAAGAGAGTGTTACTGCCCTTTAAAGTCATTAAGAATATCCCCATCTCTTTCAGAGGTATCTCCTTGTCTAAGGTCAGAAGGGAAACCAAGAGATAACGTTAAAAGTGACTGTACTGAGTACTTATAACACAGTCAACTCCTCTTACTTACATTAGTTATACAAAGTTATCATGAACACTAAATTGGTGAATAATGAACCACTACTCCCAGGGAAAATACAGGGTTAGGCTCCTGAAAATCTCTGGTCACAGCATCTTTATCAACAGATCAGAACATAAAACAAGGTTATGTGTGTTTCAGTTGAAAAACATTTAATAGATATTATTGATTCATTAACATTAAAATTGTCACCAACAGCACTACTACTTATACTTGAACTAAGCTTATTTCAGATATGAATCTTCTCCAAAAGGCACAGGACAGCCCTCTTGCACTCTTGCTGCGTCACTAGCCAGCACTTCAGCACTATTTTAAATAGTAAAATCACCAATGAAGAGTACAAAAATGCAAAAATCATGGCATTAAAAAGACTGTGCAAAATACACTGCTGACAGTATGAGAAATGAAATAAGAAGGCAGAGCGTCATCTCATTCAGCCTAAGTTGGGACCATGTGGTCAGGTGACTCAAACTTTTACTGCTCTGTACATGTCTGCAAATGACAATAAGCATTACATGTACTGATCCAGGCTTACAAATAAATTTTTAAGGTAGGTACATTTTCAAATACGGAATCCATGAATGATGAGAAATGATGTATTTTAACTGAAGGAGCAAGATATTATGCCCATCTGCTGGAAGAGGAAACTGAGGCACTGTATATTTAAATAACCTGCTTAGAAAGTTACCATTTAACAAGTGGCAAAGCTGATACTCAGATTTGGCCGTGTATGATTCCAAAGCTCATATCCCAAGAAAATTCAAGTCAAGCAATAATTATCATATGTAAAAAATGGCAAGTAATTTTAAATTAATTCACTATTATATTTCACCTCATGCTTCATTTGCTGTTTTGAACTGTTAAACAATATTCATGTGCATTATAAAGCAATAACAATTTCCTATGCTCAGATTTCTTGTGAAATTTTTAATATATTATAGTTAAACACACAAAATATGTTAGCAAGCTACGAAATCACATGAAGGTCAATGTCCTTGCCTATAAAAGGAAAACAGTAATAATATCTATCTCCAAGAGTTGTGGGAATAAATGAGATATTCCATATAAAACATTTAGCTGTGTGCCTGTCACAAAGCATGTAATAACTGTTAGCAACAATTATTAATAATACAATTCAAGGGTCTGGGAAAATAAGAATTCTGCCACTAGAATGATGATTTTATATCTCTTGAGAATAATCACATGGTCAAAGTTAATCAAGTGGGTACGAGGCCTTTAATAATACAGGGGAGCTAAAGAGTCTAAAGCTTTTTGTATTTTAATCATTCGCTCCTCCTCAATTTTTTTTTCCCATCCTGGAAGCCAGCTCTAGAGCCACTTGTCAAATGAAGGGAAGAACTCCTGTTAAATACAATTTACTCCAGGAGAATTTTTTTAAATAAATATTGAGGAAACATATTTTAATTGCTTTCAAAGGGTCTATATTATAATATTCAACTGTGTCATGAGGTGCCCTTCAGCTCATGAGAAGCAAATGTTTTCTATTACTCACCTCTCTCTCCTCCCCTGATGTTATGGGTCTACTTTTTAAAGCCAAAATAATCCAACCTCCCATCCTTTTTTTTTTTTTTTTTAAACTCCAGGAGATTGTCGACGCAGCCCTGTGACCTTTTCTCGTAGGCACCAATCATGACCCGCCTTCCCTCTTCTGCTATCTTCTACCCTAGTTGCATCTACTTTTGACTTTAACACTGCTTTCTTGCCATTTGGTCTTTAGTTGGATCATAAAGGGTTTTTATAACCTTAAGGACTACACTCTTTTCATTCAGATTTATTTAGACTACAACATGGGACCATTTCAACAAAAGCAGGATGATAGTTATTGTAAATAGCTGTTGTAACTGTTGTGAATGTGACTTTGACTAGATTTGATCTGAACAGTTAGCCATGTCTCAGATAAATACTAATTTTCTTCAACAACCTTGAAATTCTAGTGTAACTGTACAAAAGATAAGCCAACTCCAGAGTTCTGATATGAGAGCAGAAAGACTTTATATGAGTAAGGTCCACACACTACTTAACAGTAAACGCAGTCTAGGATTTCATATTTTACCTAAGCATCCAGTAAAAGAGTGATGGTTAAAAAAAAAAGAGAGAGAGAAATCCAACTTCTTAGAGAATCAACTGTGATCAAGAGATCATGTGCTAAATTCAGTGTTCTTTTTCTCAGCTTTTTGCTTCTTTTCTGACATCTACTTCTGCTACTATGAAGATTGAAATATGCAGGTGTGAAAAAGCAGGTATGGAAAAAAGCATTTACATCTATCTGTCAGCAACCAGCAAATGGCTTACCCCCTCCTCCCTGACAGGACAGCTTGCGGTCCTATGAGAGACTGGAAACCACTCTGAAAGTAAAAAAATGACATGAAAATTCAAAGCATTACCATCCTCATGCGACTACCTAGTACAATATACCAAATGATGGTTTCTGAATTGAGTCATTTATATACTGATAATCATCTATGATTTCTGCCTAACAGTAAAGAACATCTGTTTTTAATATTGTCACCACAAGGGCCTCTTAGTTTTGCTTTTTCTTCCTCTGGAGATCATGCTTTGGAAGATGATGGCTATCAATCACATTTATTCATAATTCATCCATTTTTGCTATTTATATTCAAAGTTATTTATTAGTGAAATTTGTTTTCTAAAGAGTAAACAGCAATCAGAAGCAGTAATAGAAGAATTTCCAATTTACTTGTTCCATGAGATGTTGGTGATACAGTGAGCCTGT